ATATATAAAAAAACAAAACAAAATGTTTTAAAGTTTTCCACTGTCTGTTCTTAGAAAGGCTTGTAGTAAATAGCATCTGGTCGATAGAAGGCTTCGTCCCAGCTGCAAATACTTTTTAACAATTTTTTTTTTTTACAATTGGTTCTTGTAAGTTAGTAAGTAAGTAATCTTTATTTATATACTGCCTTTCTCAGACCAGAGTCACAAAGCGGTTTACAATTGTGGGCATTTGTCTCTCAATCCACACAGAAATGGGGTCGCCAGTACAGGAGGCACATGCCAGACCTATTGTACATGTTTTTAGTGGTAGGGGAAACCGGAGTACCCGGAGGAAACCTACTCAGACACAGGGAGAATATGCAAACTTCACTCAGAAAGGCCCTGTTCCAACCGGGATTTGAACCCAGGGCCTTCTTGCTGAGAAGCCACAGTGTTACTTGCAAGTTAAGAAATTCAACTTTTTCTTTAACGTAAACTTCATTTGACTCACCGTTGGAGCCTTTTCCAGCTGCAATCTAATCTAAAAAAAATAACAGAATAATAAAAAAAAAAAATTACAATCCTTCATGACCCATTTTTGTGCTAAGCAATCAAGGCTTCTCCTCTGTCCATGGTGTTGATCCATGCTGACCTTCTGGCTCATGTAAACATTATTGTCCAGCCGTGTCATGTTTTATTAGCTCCTTTACCACCGGTACATTATGAAATCCCCATGGATATCGGATTCAGCTTTCTCTGGATTTTCACAGAGATGTCTCAAGAACAAAAAACAAAAGTCAATTGCTTTTGTTTTAATGTTTTGGAAAACCATGATTTTTATTCCTATGTATTTTTGTTCAAATATGGCAGAGCATAAAAGGGATTGTTAATACTATTATTTTGTCTTGAATTATATCATACATAGAATAAAAGATCTCCCCAGTATTGAGATACGTATCATATCGTAACCCTCGTATGTCACAAAAATGACCGGCCTGCTGACACAATAAGGATCAATACTGCAGATTATTTTTGCCTTTTTCTTTGTAATGACGTTTTAGCTACTGGTTGAATAAATCTACAGGTGATGTAAATGCATTGTGCTGCCCCTTATAAAAAGCATGCACAGCCCTGTCACAAGAAGAATTTCCTCAGTGGGAGACAATAAAGGAGTATCTTATCTCAAGTCCTTTTTATGGGTAAATATGAATTCTACCGTTTATGTCTCAGGATTGAAGTTTTACTTTACTGGTATTACACTACTATATTGTATTGTTTAGGTAAGTGTGCGTGTTGGAACTTCTTTGGAGAAAAGATTTAAAATTGTAAAATACGCTATAACTTGCCTACCTTTATAGTTAACACCTGCACATGTGTTTTGTGGAAGTGTGTTGATTGATTTTTCAGACAAGTTTTTACACAGTGCTTTTAATCGCCATGAGATTAATCCAGAAAGCTGCACATAATGACAGTCTGCTTTATTAACTTCTGCTTGCTCAATGCCTGTAATAATACGCCTCCTAATTGCCTCTCACGTGGCCCACTAATTAAAAAGAGGGAGGTGAACTGTTGTTTCTGTTGTCTGGGCACTGGGCTCCTGGACCGGTGTCTGCAGGACCTCAGGGAAAAATTAATATGAAATGAGGTCAAGAGAGGACACTGGACAGATGTTTTGTAGATAATTCCCCTCATGTTATACTCTGTCCTGCACAGATCAAGGGGAAAATACAAAATATACATATACAGTAGGTAAGGCAGTGTTGTCTGATCTATGTAAATTCATTCTTACTTTTGACTTGTTTGCACCGAGAGCCTAAGCAATTTCCTTGTCTGTGACTTCCTGTTACTCACATGGAGATAAAAATGATTCTGATTAATAATAATACTTATCATACTTATGTCAAGCTTTTTTGGACACTTTACAAAGAGAGAGAGTTCTAGATAGTGGAAAGTAGCCATTATCCAAGTATCAGCCAGTGGGGGCGGGTCCCGGCTCAAAAAGGTCCATGAGCATGTGCGCTGACATACTTGCAATTCCACTCCTAACCTATGGGGGGTGGACCCAGAAGGAGAATCATCCAACGCCTTGGCCCAAAGCTACGTTTCAGATGCAGTAATTTTGGACCAGTCTAGTTTAGCCGCTGTGGACTTCAGAAGGCACTTGTCAAATGAATGGGATTTCGATTAAATTGCAAATAAATGTGTGAGTGTAGATTGGCAAATTACAAAAAATACAGCTAAAACAAATGAGCAAAATGTTTTAGTCCTGTCTAGGGGTTAAGGTTAGGGTTAAGATGGAGTTGCTTTGTGTTGAGACTCTGCCTGAATACTTGTTTCTCAATATTCCCTTGAAAGCCACAAATGTTTTTTTTTTCCTCCTCGCTTCCATTCAAAGTGTGTGTGTCCTACTGTATAGTTTCTTTTTAAGTCGTGGCTTTGGATTCAAGAGCAGGCAAGCTTCGGAATGTGACGAGGAGACATTGCTGCAAACCGCCGTCGTCATTATTATTATTATTTTGCAAGATAAGATTAACCCACGAATCCCTCTATTTGGGCTGTGAGTTCTGGTTTGTTTTCATTCTGTCTCTATGGGACGCTTACCGCAGCATTCTGTCCTACACCCGTCTAAACCTGTCGGACCAGCTGGCGCATGCACACACCGTGGACAAAAGACTTCTCTCCTAAGACACATTATTTTCCTATTTGAGGACTTCATTCGTTGAGTAAATGCCTTTTGTGGCTTCGGAGCTTATCTGAAATCCTACCTGCCTTATCCAAACACGTGGTTGCATAATGCGACCTGCCTACTTTATCAGCGTGTGTGTCCGTGTCTTACTAATTCAATAAAGGCATCAATGGCTCTGCTGCTGTTGGATCATTGTTAAAGGGAATGTGCAGGTTCAGCAGTTGAATGTTTGCCTTTTTAATCTGTGCACGGAAATATGAAATGACATGCAAGCTAAAACTAGTATTACTTTGTAGTATTACATTACTTACCTACTGTACTTACTTACTTACTTCTCAATTGATATTTTTAGAAATGTTGCGATGGATTAAAGTCATTTTTGTAGTGGTTCGTCAGATTATCCAGTTGTCTAAAACAGATCCAATTCACTTTATAGCACATTTCATGAACAACAGTTTTGCAAGAGAAGAGCTGCAGTGGTAGTGAGTAAAATGCATACTCAGTAATAGTCATAATAATAATATTAAATGCCCGATTTAGTTTTATGCAACCAGTATAATTTAGTAAGAAGAAAATCCTAAACATCATTGAATAACAATGAAATAAATCAAAAACCCACGTATTTACAAACAGTGTTGAAAGATGAGGAATAAAAGTGGGTCTTAAGGCAAAACGTTGAGTAACTCCTGGATTATTAGTGTGGTCCATACATTAATCTAAAACCAACCATATGTATTAGTTTGACATCACACTTTTTTTTTACAAGGGTCAAAAAAGGGATTTAAATAGTCTTAATTGTCAGTGTTTGCCGCCATTCCGTGGACGTTACCTGTAACTCAGCCCTGGTTAAACATCTGTAGCACTTGGTACCATTCCTGACCAGGTTACAAACACAAAACGCCAAGATATCCGGTCAAGCTCTTCTTTGTTATTTTAGCATTTTTACTTTTAACATTATGGACATATTTTTAATACATCATTATTTGTATTGAATATTGATTCGTTTTGATAGTCTTTATTGGTAGATTTTTTTTCTGGAAAAAAGGGTTAATAAAGTTATGTCTGGATTGAAACAGAAAGAAGGCTGCATACTTTAGTGTAGATTATATTTGAATGATTTATTACAGATATAGTTTTGGCCATGGTAGCATACCCGTCAAATGGGAAGAACTTTCAAACATATAATTATGTTAAAAACGTATCGGCCTGATAAACGGATGGATTTCTATAGTTATGATGCACAGTAATTGGACCCATTTCAGGAGTATTCCGTATGGTGTCAGACAGAATCTTTTTTTTTTTCTTAACGACAAACAGAACCTGTGTGCAGATGTGATTACAAAATATTGCTGTGAACCCTTAAGCGATATTTTGAATTGCAATACAGTAGAATCCAGGCACCGGTACTTTCTTGTGACTAAGTTCTTCCCTGAAATGACACATGAGTTGATGCCGTGGTTGTTTTAACCACTCGTTTGGTCTGATCAGTGGAAATCTCCGTGTCTCTGCCAGTATATACACTGCTGAACGCTCTCACATGAATCCTATTGCCTATGAAAACCAGACTTTCTCATGAAACCAGTTCAAAAAGTGACTGTACAGTTTGAATTTCCAGTTCGGTTCTCTAATTGAAAGCATGTGTTACGTAAGTGCATGTGTGTGTTTGTAATGATGGATAATTATTTCAACTGAGCATAGCCGGACAAAATTAATACCACCGTTTGATTTGTAACTATCCTTGGACTTCTCGCTCTCTCTGCTGTGAAGTTAAAGAGTGATTGTAATGTTGTCATGACAAACCTGGAGAGAAGATTTACATTATTATGCGATCTGTTTTGGTGGCATGCAGATTCGGGACTGAAACTATTACAAACAAGCTTTGATTACAATTTGGTTTCCTCTATCAGTAATTGGTTAATGTCTTTAATATCAGCCGGACTATAAGCCACCTCTTTTTTCAAGTACTTTGAACACTGCGGCCTATTTAGCGATGCAACCAATTTAAATCCTTGTCATTAAATCAAGTTGTGTCCAGTTTAAGTCAAAATCAGAATCCCTGTTATTGCCATTATAAGAAACAGGAAGCCACAAACTAGGAATTCTTACAGCATCCTAGAGATTTTTTCACATAAAAAGTTTCATAATGTCCCTTTTTTTTGACTGTCCACTGTCTCTAGAGGGCATTTCAGATTCCACACACATACTATCCAGGATCAAAGAATGGATTATTTCTCTATTTGTTTGGTAAAATTCTGCTTTCTCTCCCCTTTCAGTTTGCCAAGGGATCACAAACCGGTTGAACCTTCTGGGCACCAAAGATGACCACTACCAGAACATGGTGAAGACCTACAGCAACTGCACTGTGGTCCTGGAGAACCTGGAGATCACCTACATGGAGGAGCATCGGGACCTGTCCTTTCTGAAGGTAGTATACACCATTTTGTATTTGTAAGATCACACCCTGAGATCTGATTGTGATATTGTGAGATCTTGTAAGTAGAAAAAGTACAAATAACAACTTTATTTGTTTCATTTGCAAAAGTGTATGAAGCAATGTCCTCTTACACATTTCCCACTCAGTTCAGAAACTGTTCTAAGCTATAGTACGAAAACAAGAAAGCGCACACTAAAAAATAGATGTCCAAAGAATTATTATCTTGATTTGACGTTTTGGTCATTGTAGCTTTCATCAGATCATTCTGTTCTCTTTCTTTGGACCAAAATGTTCTTATTCTGGTGGTCCAAAACAAGAGAAAAGAATGATCTGATGAAGTCTGTAATGGCTGAAACGTCATCATATAAATAATATTTTAGTGTGGAATGCTTTGTTTTTGAAGTTCTTTCCCTCACCTTTGCTTCCAGTAAAGATCTCTATGATGTGCAATACCTAATATTTTTTATAAATCTATAGTTTAAAAAGCTCATTGTAAAAAAAAAAAAAAAAACTAAACGCTTGAAGTACATAATATGTTCTTAAAAAATAATTGTATTTGTCTATTTGTCATATTCTCTCAACAACAAACTTACTTCAGCATTTTTGTTTTGTCTTTATAAAAAGTAAATTGGAAGAGGAGCATAGGCAGACACACACTTCTGTTTCATGGCAGTCCTGGCAAATGCAGCAAATGCCGTCTTAAAATAATATTTCCTTCTGCGGTTAAAGTCTTTGAACTGTTCGATAACGAGACAAAAGATTCCCACTTTAATTAATCTTCAAAATAAACTCAAATCATGAGAAATTTTCCCATATGTGTAATGAATTATCTATATTTTTAGATAATTGCAGTCTTTGTGCGGTGCTAATAGCCACCACAAACATTGATTTGATGCAGCCCTGCTTGTGTAAAAGATAAAACGTCGCTTCATTTTTTCCACCCCTCCTTTGTCCCTCTTGAGTAAAGGATAAAGAATAAATGTGGTATTTTCTGCGTTTTTGCTTCTGCTCCAATAATTCAAATCATTGTTGTGTGTCCTGCATCTCACACACGATACAGATGTTTCGAACACTCTCTGACGTCTCAGTCCTGCTGCAGCTGCAAAGACCACACACGTGAACCCAGACATAAACACAACAGACACTGGGACCAGGCCATGCCACAAAATCAAAAAGATGTGGTTCATCCAACACAAGAGTGTGCGTCAAACCTTCATATCTGCCTTGAATGCAGAACAAAGGAACAACTCAAATGCAGGTCTGCAAAAATACAATATTTAATAAACAACATTTTTTTAAATCCAGAACTCCAAAATCAAACCACAAAGAAACTGGGACAAAAATACAATGGACCGACAACTTTAGCAGAGGAGCACAGGGCTTAAGTACACACAGGGAGGGGAAACACATGAGAGTGGGGCAGGCAATCAACTGAATAGGAAGAAAATCTCAAAATGTATCAAACCAGTTAAAAGTAATCAATAAGTCCACAGCATGACAATACAGGCTTGTTATTTTCACTCGCCTGGATGCTTGTTGTCAACTCACCGACTTGAAACACAATGTGCACATCCCACACAGTAGTTTATACATTATTTCCATCCAGTTGTATGCGAGTTAAAGCTGGGGTACCTATTTTTTGGTCACAATAATATACGTATCTGGTTTATCTCAACAGAAAGAGGCTAGTAAAAGTCAAAATTTCTAGTAATAATAAAATTGTACATTATTTATATTCCTCCTGAACACTACTACCTATTGAAATATTAGATTATAGATAATATATTGCAGCTGCAATTGCATGAAGTGAAACTCGTAAAATTGTTCAAAAGTTCATTTATTTCTGTAATTCAACTTCAAATGTGAAATTATCAACATAAAAAAAAAATCCTTGATATATCAATTGTTTAAATATTAGTTCAATATTGTAACTTTTTGACAACATTATAATTTTCCGAGTTTCACCCATTAGTCCCAAACTAATGTCCCAGGCCAATGTTCAGAATATTGCATAATACTGCATTTACAGCTAGCTAATAAACATAGCAGCTACTTATTTTGTATATTTTGTGTGCTCCCTGTGTGCTCTCTCCCCACTGTGGGACGAATAAAGGTTCTCTCTTATCTTGTTGTGAAGAAGGAATGTATTCCAAAATAACTGAAAGAATATTTCTCATATAAGATGCCAAACTCTTATCATATGGAGTACACATGTTCCTTGAGAGATTTATTTTTCATATTTTCTATAAACCCATATGCGTGAATAGATATGTCCTCTTTGTGTCCACAGTCCATTGAAGACGTGGGGGGATATGTCCTCATTGCGCTCAACACTGCTTCTCGGATCCCTCTGGAAAACCTGCGCATCATTCGGGGTCACTCTCTTTACGGCGACGGCTTTGCTCTCGCTGTTCTGGGAAACTACAACAAAAGTCTAGGCAGAGGAAGTAACGAGCTTCTCCTGAACAGCCTGACGGGTAAGCCATGTTTTTATACACACAGGGGACTCTAACTTTCAAGTTTATAAGGTTTTAAATTATGTCTGTTGTATCTATTTTGATTGTGACATTGAGTGAGTGAGTGAGTATGTAAGTAGTAAGGAGTAAGGAGTAAGTAAGTAAGTGAATAGTTAGTGAGTGAGTGAATGAGGTATTGAGTGAGTACTAAGTGAGTGAGTGAGTGAGTAGTAAGTGAGTGAGTGAGTAGTAAGTGAGTGAGTGAGTAGTAAGTGAGTGAGTGAGTGAGTGAGTGAGTGAGTGAGTGAGTGAGTAAGTAGTGAGTGAGTGAGTGAGTGAGTGAGTAGTAAGTAGTGAGTGAGTGAGTAAGTAGTGAGTGAGTGAGTAAGTAAGTAGTGAGTAGTGAGTAGTGAGTGAGTAAGTAGTACTGTAAGTAGTGAGAGAGTGAGTGAGTGAGTGAGTGAGTTATTAAGGAGAGAGTGAGTGAGTGAGTGAGTTATTAAGGAGAGAGTGAGTGAGTGAGTTATTAAGGAGAGAGTGAGTGAGTGAGTGAGTAAGTGAGTAAGTACTGAGTGAGTGAGTGAGTGAGTTATTAAGGAGAGAGTGAGTGAGTGAGTGAGTTATTAAGGAGTGAGTGAGTGAGTTATTAAGGAGTGAGTGAGTGAGTGAGTTATTAAGGAGAGTAAGTAAGTAGTGACATTGTGATGTTTTTTTCCAGAAATTCTCAAAGGAGGAGTAAAGTTTGAGAACAACCTGCTCTGTAATGTAGAGACCATCCAGTGGTACGACATCGTCAACTCTGAAGTGAAACCCATCCTGGTGCCTCCTTTGGCCAGCAACAAACGATACTGTAAGCCACCATCACACAGATATAAAAGAACTAAAATAATATCTCATTGTCCAACAAAAACTGTGATTACATCTAACATTTGATACTTTCTCTGTTTTATTTCCCAGGTAAGAAATGTGACTCAAGCTGTTACAATGGTTCATGCTGGGCCCCAGGTCCTCAAAACTGCCAGACTTGTAAGTTACCACTATTTATTTAGCAAATGTCCTTGAGCTTACCTTGTATTTCTATCTTCCTCAACTGTTAATGTCTGAAATGCTGACTACAAAGAGCAAAAACCTGTTTGCTGGGCCACTGTTAAACTTGGTCCTTTTTGGGAACGGACACTGGTTGATCCACTCTCCCCCAAAGATATGGTTGATGTGAGGCTCGACAGCAGTAATAGCTGTGTTCACAATTATTGTTGTGTCTGCAGAGTACAGTGAAGCCATCGCTCACATACCATTGCTGCAATAAAGAGTAATATTATATCCATCCGTCCTCCTCATGATGACAAAATACACGATACAAAATAATACATGTTCAGCCGATGCTATGTAGTTTGCAGGGTGCACTTTATTCTCTTACCCCTGCATCAAACTGACAGTGAAACTTGAACGCTTGTGAGTCTATGTTTTTAAAGTTATGATTTTCTTGAGCCCATTGTGGCATTGGCATAGACCATGTGACTTTCCTCCAATGGCTGTGTTGTCTTTGCCTCAGCAGCACGGCTCACTCATGATGGGGTAGACACAACTGTCCCGTCTGGAATCTCCAATGTGTGAATCTGCCTAATGACGAGGGATGTAGTGAAATCGAAAATAACATTTCAGATTCTTGCCTGTGGCCTCATCATGTTGCTCACAGAATATGCATTAGATTCTAAATACCCTTCCAGCCAAACATTAAAAAAAACATGAAACATTTTTTGTTTTCAATATATTACAGCAACGATTAAATAGAGCTCTAGATTTCTGTGCCAATTTGTGGGGAGGAGAAATGTTTTGGCTCTGTGTGACCTCAAGTGCTCGGTGACTTTGACTACAGTTGCTTTTGTTTTTAATTCTTACATTTCTTTTGGCAGTTACGAAGCTGAGCTGTGCACAGCAGTGTTCAAAGAGGTGCAGAGGGCCCTCGCCCAGTGACTGCTGCAATGAACACTGTGCTGCTGGATGCACTGGACCCAGAGCCACAGATTGTCTGGTGAGTAAGATATTTTAATTATGTTCTAGTAGTTCACAAGAAGTACTCACAATTACCAGCTTTAACCGCCCCGGTCAGCTGGCCCGGTCAACGCAGAAAGATGCAACCCAGTCAAGGAGTGGAAACAAGAAGTGTTGGTATAGTGACTATTTTAACTGAGTGGATTCTCAAAAAGCTTGTAAAGCCAAGAATCAATTTCATTATAATCAGGCAGGAGGCTGCGGTCCATCAGGACTAGAACCTCCCGCCACAAGAACAGTTTCTTCCCCTCTGCTGTTGGACTCTTGAACACTTCTTAACCTGTCCCCCCGCCCTTTATAAAGTCACTTCACTGCCCATCATACGTCACTTTACTTCACTGTTCTGCTGTCACCTTACATTGTGTGCACCATGTGCACTTGTATATTGTAAATAGTAACTGTAACTCTACTTTAAATTTAAATGTATTCCTTAGAAGTGTTTTTTATTCTTTATTTTTATTCTTTCTTTTTATTATCTCTCTCTGACTGTTGCACTGAGCCAAAGCAATTTCCAAGTCTGTGACTTCCTGTTACTTACGTGGCAATAAAAATGATTCTGATTCTGATAATCAGTGTAGGAGCACAAGGCAAGAAAGAGTCAGAAAAGATTTTGATGTGCATTTTGATGGGTCCTAATTCATATTAAAACAGTACTTGCTGGACTATTAAGCCCTACCTTTCCCTTCCTGCACCCAAGAGGATGGGGGTCTTAATAATACAAAAAACATACATTGGCCGCTACAACATAGGCCTCAGAGTGAAAAGATACAGAAAAAAGTAGTGGCTTATAATCCGGCGAGTACTGTAATGTCCACCAAAGGGAGTTCTTACAAACCTAGTGTGTGTCCATGTTTTCTGGACAACTTCAGCTAGTAATAGTAACACTACAAAACATTTGTATTCACAAACTTGATAGAACATTTATTGAATCACGCTTTTCAGTTAAAGCTGGACAAGAATGAAGCAGCATGTTTGTTCTTAAGATTGTTGAACGTTTAGTCCCCAAGAAAAAGGGCTGCACAATTACCGTATTCACAATTTTGGTGGTTAGTTATTTACAAATAAAAAAGAGACAAAAGATAAGAAAAGCGCCACAGGAATTCGTTGACATTTGTCAAGGCAACAAGCTAGCATTTTTTTATCGTCTTGTTGTCGGTGCGGAATAATTATTTTCTCATTCCAAAGGAGACATCTCAGCTTTTTCATCAGTTATTTAACTGTCAAAACGTGCACCACACAGATTTGACTAAAAGACAAAAAGTATTTAATTCAAGCATTTATTTAACAATGTTATTCTACTTATTCTAGAAAAATGGTTATATTATAGAACTTGATAATTTTCAAATGGAGCTTATTTTATACTCCTTAAACACATAAAAAATTGCTGCAAAAACCAAATATTAGTCCGAAACACTGCAAATCAATATGTTGCCCAAATTGTTTAACCCGACCAAAGACATTTCTGCTGTGTGTGTTCATTTATTTTGCCGGGGCATCTGCTTTGCCTCTGTGGACTGCTCTTCACATGAGGCCAGTGGTAGATAGAGGAATGCACTGTTATCATTGGAGAGTGGCTCTGTTTTGGTCCGCTCCGTCTGAAGTCTTGTTTGTCTTGCTTTAGGCCTGCCGGGACTTCCAGGACGATGGGGTGTGTAAGGACTCCTGCCCTGGACTTATGCGCTACGACCCCAATCTGCACCAGCTTGTTCCAAATCCACACGGGAAATACAACTTTGGGGCAACGTGTGTCAAGGACTGCCCACGTAAGAGCCCCCACAACACTCACTGGAGATTACAACTACACCATACTGTAAATAGATGGACGATGCTAACCTGCTAGCTCTAAGAAGCCTGATAGGGAAGTGCTCAGACCTGCTTTGACTCCATTCATTTAAATTTGTGTCATTTCATGTATTCATTTATTTTCAAACCTGCAGGTGTAAACAATCATGAAAAAAAATACAAAGTCTAAAGTAAAAAACATTTTTACGTTAAAGAGTAAATGCCTCTCGTTCTGCAACCATTAGTCTCACACTCAAAAATGTGTTTTAGATCTGTGTTTTAGCGATCTCTATGATCCTGGTGTTTATATTTTCATTACATTCATGAGCAGTAACAACTGACCAATCCGGTGCCTTCTATTCCCAATGTCAGTGAACATCTTGCGAGCGGTAACAGACTTATTCAATTCAATTCAAATTCAATTAAAATAACTTTATTTATCCGTGAGGAACTTCACTTGCAAACGGCGCACCAGTGGGGATACATAAAAACACAGAAACACAAAATATAAAATACAATAAATATGCAAGAATGCAGTATAAAATACATAAAATGACGTGATTGGCTTTGGTTGCTAGGGCGTTGCTAGGGCGTTGCTATCTGCGTCATTTGGCTCTTCCCTCTTATGGAGCTTGTTCGATCTAGATATAAACGGCTTCTTCTGCTTTAGGCAAACAATATGAGTGACATCAGAACTTAGTTAGTCACAGTCTACTACAGTCTGTGAGTAATCACCCAGCTAGGTAGTCCTTCACACCAAATCAGAAAGCTGCATGGCCAGGACTGAATTAGGATGTATCAAAGTCAGAATATCAGGATGTGTAAAGCAGACTCAATATTTATTATGAATTTAATTCCCCATGTTTTTGGGGAGTCCCTGTGAACCTTGTATGAAGATGCAAACTAAAGGCAACAACTTTTTTTTTAAATTCTGAACTTTAATAAAGTCACAAGTCACATATTTTGTATGTTTACCATGCCCAAGGTAGAAACTGGAAATAACAGTTGAAAGATATCGTTAGGTACTTTTATAGTGCAGAAATACTGTTGTTGCTATTTTTCTCATTCATATCGCAGTTGTCATATTTTATGGTAAATCTCAAAGTGATCATGAGTCTTCATGCGTGACTAGGAGCGGTTGCACATTGATACACAACATGCAGAACAAGGTTGTCCTTTTCGGTAGTTACATTTTGCCTCAGGTTTAATCATAAACTATATCCGTAACAAAAGAAGTGATTGAGTTTCAAAGCGTGTTAATATCTCAACTGTTCCGTCTGACTTTAACTTGTCCTCTTCTAACCAACACCTGAGAAAGGCCTTTTGTAATAGTTTTGTATAGAGATCAAGCTTTTTCAATGTTATTTGTGGTAACTTTTATTTTTCATTAAAGATACTGTATATTTGCACCTACGGAGAGTCTTGTAAAATTGACAGTTTGTGAAAAACATCCTGTCTTAATCCCATTATAAAACATGATATATTTTACATATGTAAGGAAGAGCCCAGTGAGTCACTATTTAACGCTTAATATGCGTATGAAAACTAGCGTTACAAGCTGAGTTAGATGGATTTTATTACTTAGTTGAATTTTTTATGGTTTAAAGGTTAGGTGCCCCAGTTTCATTTGGATTATATACAATATTTCACACAGTAAATTGAAAATATCTTTAAATGATATGCTTTTTGATGAAAGAAACATAATATAAGTTCTGTTTCGGATGTTTGTAGATAACTATGTGGTGACTGACCATGGGTCGTGCGTGCGGACCTGCAGCGGGAACACTTACGAGGTGGATGAGGGGGGGATCAGGAAGTGTGCCAAGTGCGAAGGCCTCTGCCCCAAAGGTATGCGTCACCATAACAAACTGCAACAGATTAATCAATACTGGAGAGATCTCATATTCACCGGCCATCTCCATGACTCCCATCTGAATCACTTCCATGAGCAACAGGGACGTGTGGAGACCAGGCATGTCGCAATCCCCAACTATAGTGGGATGATTTTCAAAACAGGATTAGGACACACGCTCCATGAACCTCCAGGAAGTAATGGAGAAATGTCTTATTGCTATGTTTTATTCTGTCTACACGTGAAACTCGAAAAATTACAATATTTTTTTATATCGGATATATAACCTGGAAAGTGACATATGACAAGCCTCTGTCTGCTGCAATTTAATTCAGTTCAACTAAATATTTTTGTATAAACCCAAGGCTCAACAGCAATCATCTTGGAGGAAGTTGTAAAGTTGTCGATTCCTCAACAAGACATCAAAGAGTCAGTCAGTTTGAATACGGGAAATTCAATAATAACAAACACATAGGAGCCATTGGTCCATAAGGAGTGGGATGACCAATGTCCATAAATGTAAATAAATGTTTATAAATGTCACCACTGTCCTTAGACCCTCCTGCATCGGCGAGAAACGTCTCAAACACAACAAGTGAAAAACCTCAGTGAGGCCCACATCGAGAAAGGGATCTGCTCCCACAGACTGACAGGTTATAGATCTAGGACTAAGGCTGTAGAACTGGGACTAAATGGCATCATCTGCATGTGAAAGGCGGTTTTTTCACATTTTCCAGCCCCCACGCCCAATTTGAAACTGACCATAGGCGGCGAAAGTGATGGCACATTAGTTTCAACTGTGGAGATAGGCGTGACTATGTCTATTTATATTTACAGTCTATGGTCCTTTGGCAAGACTCTTCACTCCGCATTGCATAGAATGAGTCTAGTGTGCGTGTGAGGGGCCAAATTAGTAGCTAATGTGGCTACAGTAGTAGTTTACCACTAATGTGAATGGAGTGAATGAATTATGTCAGGTGAAACGGCTTTGGTGTAATAAAACACACTATATAAGTTGTATTATTATTAAATAACTAGTTAACTGGGTTGACTGGATGAAAATAAAATGTGTGAATGTTATTAATTATTACTGAAATCTCATTAATATTACATATTTGTTCATGAACAAAGCTGTGAGCGTATATTGATAGTAAGTAAATGAATCCAGAATATAGTGTGTTAACTTTCCCTGAGTAAAAAAGCACTCGTACAATGATTCCGCACAAAACTATTTTTGCAAATGCCTAATGCCTCAGTGTTATCATTCCTCTTTTGTGTGAACAGTGTGTAATGGCCTTGGGATGGGAGAGCTCGCTCATACTCTGTGCATCAACGCCACCAACATCGAGTCTTTCAGAAACTGCACCAAAATCAATGGCAACATCATTTTCATTCACACCTCAATTTATGGGTACAAACCAATATATATATATATATATATGTCTTCACTTTACTTTACTCACAACTGGTTCATTTTAAATATTGTTCTTGTTTTTCTGCAGAGATAAATACACCAAAACACCCAAGTTGGATCCTGCTCAGCTCGATGTCTTTAAAACAGTGAAGGAAATTACAGGTAAAGTCTGAGGCCACACAATAAACATGATGATTGTTTTCTATGTTTATAATGCGCCTCTTGTCTCAGGATACTTGTGGATTCAGACTTGGCCCAAGAACATGAACTCTCTCAGTCCCTTTGAGAATTTGGAAATCATACGGGGAAGGACTAAAGCGAGGTAAATGCATGGATATAAAGGTGTTATTATAAACAGCATGGTACTTTAGTTATGACAATGACATTAAAGATTATGAAAAACTATAGGGTTAGGGTTAGAGTTATGGACATTCATTGGAAGCAGCCAAGCCTAAGCCACACCCAGTATTGCTTTAGCTGTTAACCTTTTAAAGAGACTATATTTGGAGGTGAAAAAGTCATTCTTTTTTCAATTGGTGGATTGTTTGTTTATAATATTTATTAATTTTACATACTGTATATAGAGTCAACTTCTGCTGGAATGTTTTTACTGTATTTAATTGTTTTTTTGTTTTTTTGTGTCAATCAACAATTGTTTAAATTATATTTTATTACCATTTTGTTTTTGCAGTGGCAGACGCAGCCTGGCTATAGCCCAACTCGATATCGAGAGTTTGGGTCTGCGCTCTCTCAAAGAAATCAGTGATGGGGATGTTGCCATTATGAAGAATGTAAATCTTTGTTACACAAACGAAAGCCACTGGTCAAAATTCTTCAAGTCAAAAAATCAAGCTGTCACTTTGGAGAAAAACTCAGAAATATGTGGTAAATCTTTCTTTTCTCAACATTTTCATTGTGTTTGTGCCTCATCATTAGGTAGCTTTCCAGACATAATTTAAATGAATCTAATTCTCAAAATTGGTTGATTGCAGAAGAGGATGGGAGAAATCACATCCAGATTAATAATAGCATTATTTCATATACTCTGGGTATATATACTGGGTGAAACAAAACAGATAGAAGCAGAAGTGTCCAAACCGGTCCAGAAAGGGCCGCTGTGGCTGCAGGGTTTCTATCAGACCCAGCAGGAGGAGAGCAGACTCCATCCACTTCCTCAAGTAAACTCAGTCTTAACCTGAAGATTTAAGGAAATGGGAGGACCTGCAGCCACAGCGGCCCTTTCTGGACTGGTTTGGACACCTCTGGTTAGTAGAGCTTTAGTCAACAACTATGAAAACTGTAATCATCAAAGTTTGAAGAGTTGGGGGAAATTTGGGATATCTATTAGCATTTAGTATCTTAATTGCTGATAAGTAGTTGGCAGTGGTCAGGGCCCAAAGAGTTGATATTATATTGATGCAATTTAAATGTGAATCCTTAGTTAAGTTCATGAGATCCTTTAGATGTACCACAGTGGGGAAATGTCAGTGTTGCGTCACAAGTTACAGTGTTGCGTCACAAGTTACAGAACAGAAGGAATAATTAGCCCGCAACACTAGATCAGTAGATATAAAAAATAGCACAACTCTTTACTTTATATAAAAGTTTCAAAGGCATGCGTATTTGACAGTACAGACAGTATACACTGCTATGCACTGAGATATAATTATTACTAATCATTACTCTACCCTAATTTGCTATGCTGTCTTTTGGGTTTGTTTTTGCAATGTTCAAACCTGAACTTTTGGTTTGTAGCCTCCAAGAACCACACTTGTGACAGAAAGTGTACCTCAGATGGCTGCTGGGGCCCGGGTCCAGACATGTGTTTCGCCTGCAGAGACTTCAACCGGGACGGAAGCTGCACGGACAACTGCAACATCCTGGAGGGGTAAAGAACTAATCCTTTTTAAACCAAAATAAGATTAAGAGATCCATTATTCGTCCCACATTGGGGAAATTTCAGTGCTGCATGAACGGTTACAGAACAGTAGGAATGAGGAGCACACAGCACAAGATAGATTAACAATAACTGTACAAGAATAAAATAAAATACAACATTAGCAAAGAAGCAAGTCTATGATCTCTAGAAAGCATAATAGAAAGCATAATGAGAACAAAGTATAACACGTATAACTTCATCTAGCTTCTCTGAGCCTCTTTAAAGTCTTATATGCTCGAATTTGTCATAGGCAAAAACAACGGTCGTGATGTTTTGCTGTTATTCAAACAGTCAAACAGGACGGTTTAAATCGCACACTTGCTAGCACTTGTTTATCTACTGTCAAACATTGAATCTTGCCTTGATTATATTTTAACTCTGGACCCTGGAAAAGTAGGGGAGCTTAACGGTTTGCACTTGAGTCTGACTGGTGGTGTTTTTGTTCAGAGAGCCAAGAGAAGCCGTGGCGAATAAGACCTGTGTGGCGTGTCATCCGGAGTGTCTGCCGGTCAACGGGACAGCGACCTGCAGTGCACCTGTGCGTATATAAAAGAACCAGTGTCTACACCCACATACTGATGTCTGCAAAGAAAGACACGAAAGCAAGACAAAACTATAATGTTTTGAATGAAATGTATTATTCCTAATTTCCCTTAAAGCTGGAAGAAGCTTCAATTCCACATGCTGTATCTCACTTTATCCTAATAGAAAACATGTTATCTTTTGCATACTTAGAGCCAATGGGCCGAGTGAGTGACAGAGGCCAAAAATACATGCAATCAAACCAGAGAGCGAGGTTCTGTGGCTTTAAGTGTAAACGGTCCACTCTGTAGTTTGTGCAGTGATGTTGTTGTTTTATTCCTGGCTAAAGCGCATTATTGACATGGAAAAAAACAAGGAAAGAAACCAACAACTATAAGTCAATTATACGTAGATTATGACCTTGTACTTGTAATTATGTCTGATATAATAATAACAATACACAACCAGACAATGGACACTCCACCGGTAAATCTACACGTCTGCTATGAAAATGTTTTAAGAAAGACGCCCATTATATGCTCATTTCAAGACCTATAACATACGTGACAATTGTATTTGTTTGGATGAGGATAATACAGTGGTTCATGGGTCAGATAAAAACATAAAAAACAAAATAGCTTAAAATAGCGTTGACATTTTTGGTTTAGATGTTGTATACCATGTGGAATCAGTTTTGATTTTAATTTTTAATTACATTTAAATTATATTAAAGAAGAGGTACATACCCTTGAATCAGCATAAAACCCCAAAGGTCGGACATCACAGGTTTATTCGAACACGCATGAATAAAAATACAACTTTTACTTTACGAACAAGGAGACACCTATATAAAAAGTAAACTCTTGAAAGTTGAATGTCCTATTTCAGACGTATCTTCTTGTTTTTATTTATGTATGTATTTATTGATGTAGTTCTGTGTTTATATATAAAAAAACTCCCCTTGGTTTTGTAACCCTACGCCACAGTCAGCATGAGCCTGTGTTTTCCCCTTTCCAAAGTGCTCTCTCCCTGTTCGGTATTGTGCTGTAGCAACAAAGCCCGTTCCCGGTAAACAGAGGCTGAATAGATGATAGAACTCAGCCACGAGACATGTTATATTTTGAGTCACAGGCGTGGTCGTGAACTAGATTATACCTTGGCTTATTTTGCACACTTAATCCAGCCTTTGGTTCACAATCAAAGCCTCTGGGACACGATTTCTCAAAGTGGCTGTGGTTAAACTAGGACAACATTGTTTAGGATGGAGACAGATACAGAACAGATTAAGGAACACTGTGGAGCTTCTGTTCGGTGAGTGAGACGTCACACTGGAGCACGCGTCTCACTGGACAGAACACACTCACTGCACCTGTTTATGTCCTATTCACAAGGTTAGAAACAAGATTTTTAAGTTTGCTGCAGTTTCATGAATTATTTAGGACAGTGTTTTTCAACCTTTTTTGAGCCAAGGCACACTTTTTTCACTGGAAAAATCTTGCGGCACACCTCCAGGAGAAAATTTAAAAATGTATACAGTACTAATGTAAAAAAATATATACTGTACATACTCTGTGTGATATATAAAGTATATCTTATCTTATAATGTATACAGTATACTCTGTAGCCTATATTCACAATATACAGTTATTCTCATCAAAATGCTTAAGTCCAGGCCTTGAAATTAAGCTTTATTTAATATTTCTCGATACAATTAACAAGAGTTTGGGAATAAAGTGGCACTAACTGTGTGGAAAAAAACTAAGAAAATCCACTCTCTGCCCAAATAGTCAAATAATAACTCACACAAAGAACATGCATTGTTAGTGCATGGGAAACATTTTGGTATCCGAGCTTTAAATTCAGGAGTTTTGGATGAGGGACACGGGAGGTCCTGAACGCGAGTCCATGGTTCTGTCCGGTCCGCATGTCTGTGATTCTGTCCACTCGACTACGGTCTGCGCTCGGTACCCAGTTCAGAAGTGCGTTCGCGAGAGCTGTTGTACAAAAATTGTACATTTCATAGTTAAACCACTACAACGCGGCCACAGCTGCCCCGGGGCAGAGCGGAGGATGTTAATCCTGTTCAGAAACGGCATAATTCATTTTCAAAAACGTCTCTATCACTTTCACTTCTCACTCGCCACAAAGCTCTTGTCTCGCTCCCTCACACATTTGTTGGTCGCATCCAATTTTACCTTTCTCGCCACAATGCTGACCTGTTACAGCCAGTGGTCGCATCCAATTTTTCAGTTTCAAAGTACTTAGCTATCTGCTGCCATCTACTGATTTGAAAAAGTATTACATGGTTACTCACAGTTCAAAACAAGTCACCGCTCGTCAACAGCGAATGCAGCTATTTTTAGACAAAGTAGACGAATTTCTCACGGCACACCAGACAATATCATACGGCACACTAGTGTGCCGCGGCACAGTGGTTGAAAAACACTGATTTAGGAGAAAAGCACTTTAAAGCACAGTGGACACTAACAGGCAAGTTAACGCTTGTGCTTCACTGCAAACTAGAAGAAGGGTTTGATTCCACCTCTATACAGGGCCTTTCTGTGTGGAGTTTGCATGTTCTCCCCACTACCACTAAAAACATGTACATTAATAGGTCTGAATGTAATGAGTCATGAATGGTGGTGGTCAGAGGCTTCGATGCACCAGTGTGTTCGGCTCTCACTGTCATCATAATTGCCTAGAATGATGACACATACTGGTTGCCTCGCTGGTTGTGCTCCAGGGCAGCTGTGGCTACAGTAGTAGTATATCACCACTGTGTTTGGAGTGAAAGAATAATAACATTTGAAGCATCTTTGAGTGTCCAAAAAGCGCTGTATAAAACCAATGCATTATTATTATTATAATTATGTGTGGAAAGAACGGAAAATATTAGTACTCCAAAAAACATTGTACACATGCTTTGGACCTTGGTCTTTGATCTTTTCTCCAAGTTATCCAGATTCAGTCCAGTTAACAAGGATGAACGCAGCCTTGACCTTAAGAATACCGCTGTTAGAAATCTGATCATTATATTTTGCTAATTGTAAAAAAAAAAAAAAAAAAAGAATACCAATCCATCTATCTCAAAATGCTGATCCCGACTTGCCGATCCAGCTGCAGAACTGACTCCTACATGTGACTTCCCAGGGGTCTGGAAACTGCACCAAATGTGCCAACTTCCGAGACGGGCTGTTCTGCGTGGCCCGCTGTCCGCAGGGCGTGCCGGGCGAGGACGACGTGCTGGTGTGGAAGTACGCCGACGAGATGAAAGTGTGCCAGCTGTGCCACAAGAACTGCACACAGGGGTGAGGCCTGTGCCAAGAGAGCTACTGCTGCCCACATCACTGTGACAGTGTTTTTAAAGACAGGATTTATGCACTCAGGCTTGGCTGTTTTAGTTGGCACAAATCATTCTGACATTACTGTTGGCCTTAAATCATTTGAAGATGTCAGTTGTTTTAGCCTCATGAGCTTTTGGTTACATTGGCGCATGCTGCAAGGAAGTCTGCATAAATATCTGGCTAATATGAGGCTCTTAATAAGGATTCATTAAGAAAATGTATCGAATTCATTGATTACAAATAATATATTTCCTTTTACGCATTCATCTGAGCAGAAGTCATTACATTCATCATATTTTTGTCTATAATTAGAAATATATTTAAAACTTTATTTGCAAAAATGCTTTGATAAGTTTTTTTGCCTCGATTTTTCAGAATATTTTTGTACTTTATCTTTTTTAAGGGCGTAAAAAATATAAAAGATTATTAGATACAACAAGAAAATATTTTTATTTTTTTTATGAATGAATAGCTTCAGCCCTAGGTCAATATGGCGATGCCTTGATCCAGTTTGGATAGAGAGAGACAAACACGTTCTTATAATGTTAATCAAATATAGTGTGTAGCTCGGCCAAGGAAGTGGATCTGATATAACTAATATAAAAGAAACAGAAACAAATATTATATCATGGAGCCCCCTTTAAGCAGCTCGTTGGACAATATCACCAATTCATTAACTAATCCTCTCTTTTATGTTGTGATAACGATGTTTGGCCTTTATTTAAATACTATGAGCAAAAAGTAGTTGGAGAATGTTTTAACCAGATTTGACTGTGAGAGAGAGGGCTGGGAACCAAAGTCATAAAACAGAACAAGTCATGGGTAACAGGAAAGAAACATCATTTTTCCACATAGCTTTGCACATTTCTTTATTTTTGAACCATGGCTCCCTTAACACACGAATGAAAGGCTGTTCTTGGCTTCTGGCGTATTTACTATTGCATTTTTGCTCTCATTGTTATCTGCCTCAGTGCTGACAGACAGCTACATTTTGTTCCTCGTCACACTGTAATAATAATAATTAAACACTGTTGTTACTTTGACCTTAACTGACTGAAATGTTGTTGGGTCTCTGTCAGCTTTATAGTTTTTCTAATGTATTTCTATTGCTATGTTAATGCAGTAGGAGTTTTCCCATTTGTTGCCAAAACTGGATCACCTTTAATTATGAGCTAAGCAGGCTCCAGGCTGTTCAGAGCAAAATACTGGGAGCTCCTGTTTTTCAACTGCCATTACTACATTTTACCTTTACTCATTTAGACATTTTTTCTAGATATAAGCTTGTATTGTAATGTGTATAATGTGTACTTTAATGGTTTGCTTACAGGTGTAATGGGCGTGGTCTTGAGGGTTGCCAGGCAAAAAGGTAAGCTAGCTGCTGTTTGTATTCTTGTATGTTAACTATGGCTAAATCCTCACAAACTTGTATTTCTCAGTAGTGGCATGTCCATGATCACCGCCGGCGTCGTCGGGGGTCTGCTGGCCATGCTGGTCGCTGGTTTGTCTGTTTTTGTGTTGCTACGGCGACGCCACATCAAGAGGAAGCGGACGATGAGGAGACTTCTGCAGGAGAGGGAGGTATGACGAGCACCTGTACGTGTTTAAAGCTGGTGCACCTAACTTTCAAACGACAAACAATTTAAACTATGTAATATAATCCATCTAAAACGGATTCTGAAGGCAGTGTGGCTCCATCACTAGCTTTCACATGCATGTACCGTTGGCCTTTGTCCCATCTTTAGATCTGTTTTTTCAGACAGAAAAGTGTAAAAGAGAGGACCGCCCTTACTGGACCAATCAGCTCTTAGTCCAAACAGTCAAATAGTGACTCCCAGGGCTGTTTCTAAGTATGCAAAAATGTACACGCTTTTTTTTAAGCTATTAATCTCATATTGTGTTATAATTATCACATTTATAAAACATATTCTGCTAGGACAAAGGACATGTATGATACAAAAAGTTAGGTTGCCCAGCTGTATGTATATATACCTCAATTATGGAGGATTATACTGCTTAAAGAATGAGACTCCACTTGTAACTTAGCCGGCTGAAGTCACATGGTACGGTATAAATATTCAGGAAAAACAACCAGCGGAAAAACAGGCTCGCCTTCAAGATGATGAATAATGCCCCTAAAATTATCATTCAAGCAAAGCAAATCTTGTTAAATGTTCCTATGTTGTGCATTTTTGACATGCCTATTGTTGAAGAAATGAATTATTCTGTTTTGTTTTTGTTGAAGCTGGTGGAGCCTTTAACGCCGAGCGGAGAAGCACCCAACCAAGCCTTGCTTCGAATCCTCAAAGAACCCGAGTTTAAGAAAATCAAAGTGCTTGGATCCGGGGCGTTTGGGACGGTTTATAAGGTAATAAAGCTCAGCACGTTACCAAATAAATGCGCACTCTCAACTGTGGTGAAAACGCATTATTCAAGGTGCCATAAACTATAACACTAATGGCAGCAGTGTTTGCTTTTGGAGGTCTGTTAGCAATTTTCTAATTACACAACACAAACTTTTCTTGCCAGATCACGTACAAGCCACACTGCCTCCTCTTACTCACTGGGGCAGTTACTAATATGTTGTGAATGTATGTCATGGCCCATAGGCGGTCTTTCCATTTCCTCCTAGTAAGACATGGTAGCAAGCAGTGGCACTCACAGAAGTTCTATTCACTCTTTATAAGTATTGTAATGATGTGGTTCTGTACGCTGGAACCTCTAAATGGGTCATTCAAAATTGGGCTGAATGATATACTGTAGAAGAGAAAAATAGGATGTTTAGAATTCATTGAAATAAATCAGAAAACCTGTATTTAACCCCTTAAGCTAAACCCCTAACGAGAAAAAAATAAATCTGCTGGCAATAGCAGATGCATTTTGCACTTCATAATCCCACAAGCTATGTATCATTTTAAAGCTTATTTTCTCATCTACATGTACTGTATATATAAGTGTAAACAATATCAGACTTTGAATCAAAAATCACTGGGCACAAAATAAATGACGTCTGTATTTATTTTTTTAACCTTTCGTCTTCTGCTGCTTAAACAAATTAGACCCCCATCATTGCTTAGGCTCTTTCATTCCGCAAATGTCCATGGAAAAAGAATATCCACTTGTATTTTCTAAAGTATAATCCCTTCTGGAGAAATAATCCAAAAATGTGCATTTATGTTTAGCGAAAAAAAGTTTCTCTGGCATGGCGTGTCACGGATGGGTGTTGCTATCAATGAACTAGGAAATAAGGATTCCAATGAAAACTACTGTTGATTAATACTGGTCAAACCTCATGTTAAATTACAAGTTCCACATCACTCCACGTGAGATGTCACCATAGCAACACATAACAATGAGGGCAAAGCTAACTTGACAGTTTCGATTATAAAGTTACTGCTATACCTTCTTTATATCAGGACGCTGAATTAAGCTAAAATGCAAAATTATTATTGTTGTGTCAAATTCACTAGTTAAATGTTGGGAAACCTTTCTTTTGCTCCGCGTTGTGTCTTATTTTTGGTCATAACAACGGTTGCTATGGAGCTTTTGCTGGCTCTTGTTGTCCCTTTCTTCAATGTCAACTATTTGTTTAACACATTTGCAACAAAACCAGCTGCTCAATGCGCTTTACATGCACAAAAGACTTAAAAAAAGAAGAAAACCAAATTAGATCCACAAAAATACATAAAAAGGCGTAGGTTAAGGTTAAGCAAACATGTTTTATTGTTCTTGGGTCTCTGCATACTTGGTGTAGCACCGTATTGGCATGACATTGCGTTCATGTCTTTCTCATGAGTCATATTCAGGTAAAATAACAAATGTTTATTTTTTCCATTCAGGGCCTGTGGGTTCCTGAGGGAGAAGATGTCAAGATCCCTGTGGCCATTAAGGTTTTGAGGGAAGCCACATCACCAAAAGCAAATAAAGAAATCCTGGATGTAAGTTTAGACGATTTGTGATTTGTTACTTCTAGCCCCTTATTTCTATGCTCGACTTCCTAAGGCGTTTGCTGGAGTGCTTCCTAAGCTCTACGTTCCCATGGGTAACCAGTACATTTTTGTTAGCTGGTCTTTCACTGGATACTTACCAGATACTGTCACTGTAATATATCGGCCACAGCTGTGAAAAGGTCCTGGATACAGACAGATGTGCAATGCGAGATTTAGCTGTGACATCTCCTTGACCAGAAGTTGCATTGTACCCTTGTGTTGAAATACCCATATCGTCTTCACGCATCTCAAAAGTTAAGATGAAAAGATCCTTTAATCGTACCACAGTGAGGAAATTTCAGTGTTGCATCACCAGTTACAGAACAGTATGAATGAGTAGCACACAGCACAAGATAAACGAACAATAAATCTATACTAAAAATATAATAAAAGAAAAATCTCTAGCATGAAGAAGAAACACGTATAAAATCTCTATCTTTGGCATATCTTTGACATAATGGCATAATAAAAAAGAGTCTTCTGCTGCTGGACACCTGAATTTCTCCTACCGGGGATCAATAAAGTATCTATCTATCTATCTATCGATCTATCTATCTATGTATCTATAATGAGTAATAGAAACTCTGACTATAGAATTAAAAAGTATAAAATCTTTATCTTTGGCATAATGAGTCAAAAAAACGGACTTTAGCATAATAAAGAAGTATAAAATCTCTCCCGTTGGTATAATAAGAAGCAAGTATAATGACGGCGTAATCTACTATATCCACACGTTTAAGGTTAGTCATTCTGGATGTGATTTTGTTCAAAGGAAGCATCTCATTGGCCTTAATACTGATGTATGTGTCATGTTTTGTTCCATGAGGCTGTTGGAAAGAGATTATTTGTTTTGGATGGAGAGAGGGAGTGAGGTGTCCCACACTGGAATGCAGCATTATGGCTCCATTGGGAAACAGCCTCCTTCAAACTTCTAAACGTGTATGTGCAGTTGTGTGTGTTTTTTGGGGTTGTGTTGCTTCGTCATACAACATCTGGCAACAGTGGTCGTTTGAACCAATGACTTGAGAGCACAGAATGTCTATTTAAAGGGATAAACCTTTTTTTATTGCGCTTTGAAGCTGTCAGCATCCCCCTGTTTAGTTGTCGTCGTTCCTATTGTTGTCGTGCCAACGTAATGACAGGATTATTTAAGTTGAAAAGCCATGTCTCTGTCTCGTGGGCTGTGGTTGCGAATAGAATACAATGTGATCTTTCAGAATCAAATCTACTATGAGCAGTATAGTTGTTCTTTTGTTCTTGTAACTGACATATTGAACCACAAATAAGAGTATTTGTGGTTGTTTAATGTTACTCAATACAAAATGCAGTAGTTCATTATTTCTTCGGTCATTTCGTATATTAGAACTTAGGTTACATGTTTCCAAAGATCAAATACATTTTACTATAAAGAAAAAAAGATAACTAAAATGTGTATACTAAGAATTTTAGTGCTAAATAATGCCTGACTGAAAGGGGCTTTGCCACGGACCCAAATGCAGAATTGCAAAAATATTATAATTTAATAAATGGCACAATAAAATGGATCCAAAATTAAAAACCAGGGACACGACATGGGGAAAAAACAATAAGGGTCCGACAAGAGAACAAGGTCTAAATACAAAACAGGGAGACACAGGTCTAACACATCAGGGCGGGGCAAACAATTAACAGGACGAACCGGAAGTAAAACTCAATAAGAGAACAAATATATATATCAAAATAAACCAGGTATAAATAAAACATGTCCACATAATGACAATTGAGGCTAACCCCTCATCCAACTGTGACAATACGTACAAAGATGACACATTATACAGATTCTCATACACCAACGGCGGTAACATGTAGCATTAAACTTCAAAACGATGTTATGAATGAGCAAATTCAAGATAACACATTATACCGTTTATCTGAAATTGATTTTTATTATCGACTTTTTGTGAATGAGTTTGCTTGTCCATGCCGTTTTACCATTCCACCTGTGTATTGTTTGGCCATCCAAAAGCAAGCGTGAGGAGATTTTGTGAATTTCCAGCTGAATGCTCATGAATGTGTGAGTGAATGCAGTCTGTCCCTTTGTTTTCTCCCGGTTAGTGACGAGGCATTGTGCAGGGATTACACCTCTGAAAAGCCACGTTTGGGAGCTCTGTGGTTGTGTGTAGGCTTTTGATGAGTACGTGAAGCTATAGATATAGAACACAAAGAGAAAAAAGTGAGAGCTATGTGTTTTAATCTCAAGAGTTATGTAATGTAACTGTTAAAATGACATTAATGGTCATAGCACAAAGGCATTCATTCAGAAATTCATTCAGAAATATGAATTGATGGCATTATAGGTTGCATTCATGTTTTCAGTTGGGAAGTCAGGTGTCATTAAAACTCTATGAGAATGAAGACATTTTTTAAAGACATTTTGAAAAAAGACTGGGAAATACATAAACAGTGTTAGATTCTGTCGAGAAATGAAGAGAGGCAGCGATGATTGCGCATTTACCACGGTTTATTTTTGAGTCCCTCCAGAATGAACAAAAGGAGACAAAGCTTTTCATAGGATTTGTAACAATGTGCATCAGAACAGAGACGTCATCACTTGAGATATTATTGAAGTAAAACTCAACAAGAAAACAAATATATCTAAATAAAACCAGGTAAAAACAAAACCGGTCCACACCATGACCAGTGTCTATGCTTCAGATATAGATAGTGTAGTAACAATGTGTCAGAACAAAGACATGCAGTGCTTCAGATAATAATGTTTAGCAGTAATACAGATATAACTGGGGTCCACATTACAACATATGCTGGTGATTTTGCACAATTCACATACCTGTTAAATTATTATTATGTATGGAGGTATTTTCTACTGACCAGCATCATGTGGTTGTTTGAATATTGTCACCACTTTTAAAAGACCTTTTTTAATGAATGAATGAATGAATAAGCAGAGATCAGTTTGTTTCTAATGTATTTGACCAGGGATTATAGAAAAATTATCTCTAAAGTAATAGTACTAAAACTAGACCATAGTTACCAGGAAAAAAAAATCAGCAGCCTTCCAACACAATTTTAAACTATAGGCCGAATGTTGAACACAGCCTACATGAATAATTGTAATTATTAGAATATTTAGAATCAGACACACAATGATACATGTTCTAGGCAAATTAGCCTTGGCTATAAATGTTGTAGTGGTTCACATGTTGATTGTGTACACTTGTCCCTATCAAATAAATCAATAAATGCACACAATACTAAGTAAAATGATATGAAAATGCATGTATGCGGTTAACACTGCCTCTTTGCTCCTCCAGGAGGCGTACGTGATGGCGAGCGTGGAGCACCCTCACGTGTGTCGGCTGCTGGGCATCTGTCTGACCTCCACGGTGCAGCTGGTCACTCAGCTCATGCCTTTCGGCTGTTTGCTCGACTACGTCAAAGAGCACAAGGACATCATCGGCTCCCAGTATCTGCTCAACTGGTGTGTGCAGATCGCCAAGGTGAGCGAGGAGGGCGTACGTACTCTTAAATAAATGTAATCCATCCAACACTGGGAATTAATAGTGTGTAATACATTTAAATTTGAATTATTATTTATGCTATTTTTTTTTTTTTGGCCATTCAAATTATTATGACACTGTTTACTTTCATGTTTTAGAATGTGAAAAATATTGAGTTGAGTAAATATTTGGTGAAACAAGTTTGGAGGGCAAACAATGCTTTCAATCTGTAACTCCCAATGCTACCACCAGAGGGAAGAGCTTAATTTGTTTTATTTGTTTAAGTTTTTTGTGATTGTAAAGAATGGAAAACTTAATGCAAGACACTTAACCCCATTTTGCCCAAAGCCCCCGCTGAAAGATCAAGGCTATGCTCACACTCACCTGCAGAGGATCAGTGAGGGGCTGGTGCTATGAGACTTGGGTGGCATCTCTGATTGACACCCCCCTGACCCAGAAATTGATTAAAGGGTAGAATATGGATGGATGGATGGATGGAAAACTTAACAAAGTTATCGATTCACCAACAGATCAGAGACTCAAACAGCTTGAACACAGGAGCCATGGGTCCCCAGGCGGGATGACCAATGTCCATAAATGTTAACTACACATAAAAACTATATTATGAGGAGTGCTTTTGTTTTAAAAGACAGAAGACTGCTTTTTGTGTGATGTCATACGTGGTACAATTACATCATACTACTACAGGACTTAGACAGGAGCTTTTAGACAGAAGGGGTAGAGTTATGTATTTATGGCAGAAGTTCCATAATTAGTTTTAGTGGATTGTAGATGAATGTTGTAACGTGTTAAAAATCTCAAAAAAGTCCAATATGCATAATATGTCTCCTTTAAAGTAATGTTCCACTCAGAAGAAGGTTGTGCCTTCAGCTTTTTTTTTTTTTTTTTAAAGCAATAAAAAGATCTGCTCATAGAAGGCATTTTAACTCCTCTGCGGTGTGGGCAGACAAGAGCAGATTCCCATAGTTCCTGTCTGGTTTCCTTCACTGACTCATTGCCTGAGAGCATCTTTTAACCTAAACCATATGAAGTGACCTGTAAGTTAAAACATAAGGCTGTAGTGATGAATCTTGTTTCTGTCTCACAACGGTAAAAACGCAGGACTAAAAACAGGGATTATTCACTTTATTTACACATGTATATAAACAGAACTGGGTTGTTACTATTATATATACACCAAGTCTGACAACATTAAAATAATCTTGAAAGTTTTCAATACATACGTTGTGTAATGTATGTACAGCTGAAACCATTGAGCTAATGTTAGGAGTGGACTGACCAATATCCGTACTTGGGCATTTGTTCCGATGGGGTTTACGCCGTGTTGCTACGACATATGCCAATCCTTTTGAAGATTATAGCTTACAAACCATTTTCAAAATATTCTTCATGCTTTTATGAGACTTTTAATGTGTTTTTTAACAACTTGATATCTCAGTTTGTGTGTAATAAGCGTGTCATACATATTTGTCTCACATTGTAAGTTGAATTACATTTTAAGAAAATTCTAATTTCCTGAGTTTCACCTGTAAGTTTCACCTTGTCTAGTTAATTGCAAACATATTGACCTCAACACAATAACAAAAGAAACATCTCCTTGTGAGAAAATATTGTACATGACGTGTCCTCATGCAAACATGTGGATGTGTTGAAAGCCATAATCACACAGTATTAATCCGACTATCGCTCTTGTGTAATTAAACTGTGTGTTCTCTGTTTGTCTAAAGGGCATGAACTACTTGGAGGAGCGCCACCTGGTTCATCGAGATCTGGCAGCGAGAAACGTCCTGGTGAAAACTCCGCAACACGTGAAGATCACTGACTTCGGCCTGGCCAAGCTTCTCAACGCAGACGAGAAGGAGTACCACGCAGACGGCGGCAAGGTGAGACGTGCTGAAGCAGAAACATGACATTTTAAAGCTTTCTATTACACATTTAACTTGTGTTTTCTCCCATGTTATTGTTGTATTCTAAAATAGTGTATGTCCGTGATCGACACGCACTCTAGACAGCAATCAACCACTGACATCATTGTTCTTGTAGCTAAAACTTGTGCAGTGCAGAAAACTGTTATTTACCGGACTGCTACTCACTGGAACAGATAAGCATCCTTATTAAATTCAATATCAAACCAATGTCAGGGTGTTCAAGGCCTGTCGCGAGAAAGAACTGACAACTGATTCCTGTTCATTTGCATTTAATTTTTGACCATTGTTATGTTAATGTCTATATTGCTTATCTTTTTTGACTTTTTAAAATATTTTTTTGAATATCTATAGCTGATTGTATTTTAGTGATGGACTCTAGGAAGACTAGACCATACCAAATTAACTAAATAAACCAGATGAAACAATAGCCAGACCAGCCAGACCCTTTTCTTTGTGGCACATGTGAAAGCAGAAACCTATTCCCAACTGCTTTACTGGGCAGTAGGGGTGGGCGATATGGACAAAAATAAATATCTCAATATTTTTTTTCCAACTCACGATATTGTCACGATATCTTTAAAATCAATAATTTTTACTCAAAATGATCTGTAATGTTTTGCTGCCAGGGCATCTATAGATAGAGACAGTGTAGATCTAAATAGAAGCTTCACACTTCTTTGCAAAACATGTACAAACATATATTAACATATATTAACATTAAAAATCAAATTCAAGTAACACAGAAAGAACACATCCAAAAAGGCTCAATTTTTACTGAAATGTACAAATAAAGCAGTGATTGGCTTTTTAGGCACACATTAGACCAAATGGCCATCTGTCCTTCTCTAATTGTAATATGTATGTAAAAAGAAAATACGATAATACAAAAAAGCATATCTTCAAATGGACTTTCACAATATTATTGTCTACGATATATTTTGGCTAATTATATTAAATACAGGTAAAACTTATAATAATGATAATATAATATGAATACATGTTATTCATAATGCACCCTACATTTCCACAAAACCTCAATTGTGCTACAGATTAGAATTCAATACAAAATATACAGTATATACATCAAAGTACGTCAAATATGTAAAAATGGAAGGTACAGTATATCTTGGATTTGTCATGACTTCAGAAATGACTGATGACAGAGACTTACAGACAGAGCAGGATGCTTTATGCTCAGGTCACCACTCTCATGTGCAAGGTTGACTTCTGTTCAACTGATGTCAAGGTGCAACTGTACACCACTTTGCATGACTCACCTGTGACTAACTATGAAAGAGACGGTCTGCACAAGCTGCAGGTGGCCTACAATGACGCTTTTCCAGTACTTGAGAATGGACCAGCGACTGAGCTGTTTGTCACCTCTCGAGTGAACACTTACAGGCTGTGCTGAGGATAATTATGAACAATTTCCTCTGTCGACAGAACAAGTCAGAATATGAAATAATATTTGCACTGACCAACATGTGACAAAAGCCTTTCTTTGTTGTAATGTTGGTAATTAAGATCACAGCTTAAAAAACCCAAATAATAAGTCTCATAAAACATAAGAATACTTTGAAATATATGACTGGACCAAAGTTTTCCACAGCTTTGGTCCAGTCCTCGCTGTACCCTGGATTTTAACATGACAGTTTTTTTTTTTTCTTTCATCATGAACTAAAAAACATCTTTTTGTGTGTATTTCCATTGAAGATTACTGATAAAAGTACTTATGGCACAATGAAAGTACTTTTAGACATAGCATCCTTACACCAGTTGACCACCAGGAGGCAGCGTCGCTTCACAGGCTGTAATTGCTTCCATCTGCTGCAGATGTAGTGTGACAATAACAGATGTGCAGATGTTTTTAGAAGATGATGAAGTCCTCACTCTTTCCTGCCCGTAACCCTCACAAGGATTTATCAATAAAACCAAGCACTTGCCCTGAATATGCTCTTGAGTCCTTAACAACGAGTTATTTCTGCTTTGAAGGTACCGATCAAATGGATGGCTCTGGAATCGATTCTGAACAGGACCTACACGCACCAGAGCGACGTGTGGAGCTATGGTACTTTGTTTTTTTTAACCAGGTTTTTAGATTTTACTACATCAAGTATTTGGAAGTCAATAAAGATTGTTATTCTTATTCTTATTATGGCTCATGCATAAAACAATAAAACCAAATTTAGTGCGTTTAGTACTCATTGAGTCAGTCTTCGTTGAGTCAGTCCGTTGAAAACCAGGTGCTTATTCAAAAAGGCCAAATATTCTCATTGGTTAATGTTTGATATTTTAAAAGATTTTACACTGCAGGGAATATTGCAATGAATGATTACCGTACTTTAATTGCACTCACTATGATAACTAGTAGTATTGACTCAGGTTGACTCAGGTTGCCAGATATGCAGATGAATCCAGCTGGGAACATAATATCCGAATAGACAAGAGTTTTGTCAACAACAAATCATTAACCAACACATTTTTCACACAAGTCCCGATAGAAATCCTCGTTTTATTCCTTGTTTTGTCATTAATGATTTGAGAATGATAACGAGACCTGTTAGTTCTGGGGCCACATGTTTGAGATTGGCTGATATTAGCTCGACACGGTGAGTTCTAGCAACCCGGGTCACATACTTTCTGATTAGTAAAACGGTGGAGGGCGGGACATCGAAATGAAAACAATAATAAGATTTAGGGCTGTAAAACTAATTTTGAAATTCAAATATCTCGGCTGAACTAGAAGTATTGAGAGCATGGTTTATTAATGCCTTTTGACATATTAGGACATATGACTTGACATGAAAATTTTACATATTGCTACTTCAACTGAGCTGAAACACATAAACAGCAGAATGAACAGAATTTTCCATAATTTCATTCAGTCCACAACAGCTACAACCTCATCATTTTACAAAGAATAAAAAAAAATAAGCTCACACTATGCGACAATATACACACAATGTATCATCGTTATGGGAATCATTATAATGTCATTAACTTTCATATTGTAAAATCTGGGCATGTGGGAGAATTCTATGAAAAGTAAACGCTTTCACAACGCGGTGACAATTACTTCAGTATCCCAGTTATTATTTTTGTCTCTGCTGTATACGCAGACCGTGGCCTCCTCTCTTCCACAGATTTAGGAACAGATGCATCTATTTTTTCCTCTCTCCCTCACTTCTCCCTTGGGTTTGATCAGTTCTTCCGCTCAGTATGGAAGGATCATTAGCACTGGCAAAAGTCCCGGTTTGCAAGACTTTTCCTACTTAGCTTTTTACAGATCCACCTCCGCTCACTCCCACAAATACACTCACAAGTGAATTCTACACAGGAGCCACTGTACTGTAGCTGTGGCCAATTCAGTGGATTTCATAAAAACGATTCAAGATTAAATATAAATGCTCTGTAAAATTGCCTACCTTATTTTAAAATCCACATACTAATTGGCTGTTTTCCCACAAGGGGATATTCAAGTTATCATCATACAGACAATAGACACGTACAATCATGAATAGTCAAATTTCATAAATATATTTTTGTTCCAACAGATAAAGCCACATGATGCTGTCTTTATGTTATTATAAAACATACTACCGTACTTTCCGGACTATAAGGCGCACCTGTATATAAGCCGCAACACCTAAATCTGAAAAGAAAATCCATTCTGTCAACCCATTGTCCACACTTCATATTGTAATGTAGCAGAGAGTCTGTTTTAATTGGGGGAATTATGATTTAATGATGACCTTTTATGCTAGTGCTCATTCACCAGTCTGTTTTTACAATAAATGAGTGTTCTTTAACTACTAAAACTTGATGGATGTAGAAAAACAAGTCCATAAACTCTGCTCTGACAACTCTACCACAATAGTCTTCTAGTCCGGAAATTACGGTATTTATTTTACATTCTGAGAGCTGGTTGGCTGAGTGAGGGCTGGTTATTTCTTTTTCACTAAAAAAGCTTATGTAAAGATGTGACAATTCATGCATGTAAACAAATAGTGATAGATGTGTTTTGAGAACTATATATGAACTATTTAGAGTATGGTGATTTCGTTACATTGTTATTTTTTTTACGTTAGGTACTCCAGCTTAAAGCAGCTTATATGGATTAAACAAAGTAAAAAATAAAAAATAAAAACAATTTATCAACAATGCATTTTTTTGGTTTCAGGTGTCACGGTTTGGGAGCTGATGACCTTTGGGACGAAACCGTACGATGGAATTCCCGCCAGTGAAATCGCCGGAGTCCTGGAGAAAGGAGAGCGCCTCCCGCAGCCTCCCATCTGCACCATCGACGTCTACATGATCATGGTCAAATGTAAGGCTTTTTTATTTTTATGTTTTGTACAACACTGTAGGATTTGACTCATGTGTCGACTGTATCTTTGTTTTGATCTGATCTCTTAAAACCAACCAATACAAACATGTTTTTACTTCTCTTCTCTTTCTCCTCAGGTTGGATGATTGATGCAGACAGCCGGCCCCGTTTCCGTGAACTAATCGCTGAGTTCACAAAAATGGCCAGAGATCCTCCTCGTTATCTTGTTATACAGGTACATTTACAGCAACAACTGCAACATTAAAGGTTTATAGGAGGATTTTCTACTTCCAGGTGGATCATCCAGACTATTGGTCCTCCCAGTTGTCAATTATTCTGGTGATACGTGCTCGTCAACTAGAATTTTGAGTTTTTTTAAAAAGTGGAGCGGGCGGTTCTTTCCTAAAATTTGGGGAAATCCTCCTATGTATACTGTTAAAATGCAACTATGTCACAATTGTTGCTAGATTTTTCTTTTTTTTTTCTGTGATTCTTACGTCCATATCTTATTCTAAAAATGATATAACTATGGAGCTTTACGGGCTCTTTTTATTGTTCAAGCTGCGGTACCTAACTTTTCCCCCTCATAGCCTATACAGCAATACATATAGCTTGTCCCAATAGAAAGAGTAGCATTATGTGAAGTTAATTTAGATAGAAAGATAGAAAGACAGATGGATAGACCTATTGTCCCTTGAGTAAACTTCATTTCCACAGTCAGATACATACTGTAGGACACAGACAATATGGTGCCTATATTTAATTTAAATGAGAAGTAAAAACTTTCACAACGCGGTGACAATCACTTCAGTATCCCAGTTATTATTATTATCTCTGCTGTATACGCAGACCTGTGCCTCCTCTCTTCCACAGATTTAGGAACAGATACATAACAGAACACAGACAATATGGTGCCTATATTTAATTTCCTGCCCTTTTTCATTAAGCTGCTAAAATGTGCACTGGCCACCCTTGTTTATGGCTATAGCCGGTCCCCGAGTCCCAGTAAAGCTGACCTCTCCGATTGTGCCTGCAGGGTGACGAGCGCATGCACCTGCCCAGCCCCTCAGACGGCAGACTGTTCCGCAGCCTGATCAGCGGCGAGGAGATGGACGACGCAGTGGACGCTGATGAGTATTTACTGCCTCAAAATGGCTTCTTCAGCAGCCCCAGCACTTCACAGACTCCACTGCTACATTCAACGGTAACAGGCCACTGTACACAGACTGTGCCGACGGTTTAGACAGGGTTCAAGGCAATGAGCGAATGTGGATCTTATTAGAAATAAGCAACGGGCAAAACCAAAAGCAGTTGCATTAGTAGTATCTGGGGCAATAGATCTCTTATCTGTCACTGAACCATGGTCCGGCTTTAGGGTTTTACTGTGAGCTGATCCTGCAGTGCTTAAGACCTCTCATCCATGTTAATGCCAAGTTATGATGAGTTTCATTGATTGATTGAGAGAACAATGCTTGTTTCGAGCTGTGAAGTGAGTCAGAGGGTTCCAGACATATAATCCCCCTTTTGAAAATCCCCACAGGAGTTTCAAAACATCCAAGTATCAATGGTTTGAAGCAGAGGCGTAGCTAGCCCCTTTTGTCAAGCACCACTAAAATTATAGAACAAAAAATATACTAAAAAATAAAAAATAAAAAAAATAACGGATTTTTAAAACTCATCCAGGTTATTAATAAATACTGTTATTGTTTCCTAAAATTCGTTTTTACCATCTATTTAAAAATGTCTGGAGTCATTCCATTTCATGCAGAGAATGCACCGCGAAGAATAAAAAAAGAAGACGCTGGCGCGCACCTGCTCAGGTCCCGCTGCGTCTGCTTCTCTGACCTCATCTCTGTGTCTGTCTGTGCACTGAGACTGAGCTACAGCGGTGACTTTCACGTTTACTTGGTTGGTAATTCATTTCCTATCCCATCTTTTCCCTTAAACTTTATGAGAACAGTTCTGCTGCTAACGCTGTATTAAACACCGGTGCTCCGGGTGCGTGGCTCCGAGTGTCTGTGGCAGATCTAACATGGACAAGTCCGCCGTAAAGTTCTCTTGAATTGAGTCATTTGGCGTCACATTTACTTATCTCCTGCTTGTCACACACAGTTCATGTTTTATATGGTATAAATTATGAAGCCCTAAAGCCCTTAGCTTTATACTAACAAATAAAACAAACCTAGCTAGCTCTGTAATGATATCTTCATCACTGTCACTTGATGAAGTAGCACAGTCAGTCTGTGTTGTGATAGCTTTGTTATATTTATAATATTGAATATAACTCCATACTGAAAGCAAAAAAACACATTTACACTGTAAATGTGTTAGCAAGAGTGGACTTAGCTGCAAAGATGGATATTAGAGGGTTTTTCAAAGGGAAAACTTCAAGTGAGGTTTGTGTAGTTTTTAGGGAAATATTAAATAGTATAAAGGACAGTAACTGACCTGAATTAGTCTGTGTCCTAAAATACAGTAACACACAGTGTTGGTCTGTGATCAGGTGAAAAGATACGGCTGTGATGTCATCAGAGGATCAGAGCCTTTAGTTTGATCCCAGTAATGCTGAATCAGAATACATTTTTTTGTGATCTGACCTTAAGTTTTAAGTTAATAGGTGCTATGATTATTTTATAGTGTACTTCATGCATATTAAATGTGTGTTATAGCTGACAGCAGTTAAAGGGAAGGAGAATATTGGTCAGGGGCAGAGTGAGCGAGAACAGCAGGTAAGATACTAACAACACCAATGTTGGTCCAAGCATGAGTTGTGTGAGTGATGGAATTATTATATCTTATATTTGCTTTGAGGGCCATGTTTGAAGTTGGGGTCTTGTAATCATTTTCTTAACAAATACGAGCACAATAGAACAAGCTGACTAGCAAAGTAGTTTTTGAGGCTCTACTTTCAACCACTTCAGGATTGCACAGGTATCTGCAAAAAAAGAATGTTGACTTAGCACCGTGTGGAGCGGATCCTCTCAGTGTGGGTCTCCCGGAGGTTTCTCACTTTTTTCCCGCTGGGTTTTTTTGTAATGAGTTTTTCCTCGCCGATGCAGGAGGGTTTGTTGGACAGTTACAGTAGTGTCCAACTAGAAGGACTGTGATGATGATCCAGGACACTTTAACATTCTACAACATGTATGACATTTATGAACATTCATGGACATTGGTGGCTCCCTATGGACCAACTCATATTTGTATTTTTTGTGTTTTAACTGTTGATTCTCTGATCTGTGTTGGTGATTTCAATGGTTTTGAGAAGTCCTCAGATGATTTCTGTTGTGATTTAGGGCTATACAAGAATAATTTGCTGTTGTTGTTGTTAGCACATGCCTTAGCTTACAAAGATGCCATTATTGATTCCCCTAAAAAGAAACCAAGTGATGTCACGGCTGCAGACATTAATACAAGATTCTGTGTGAGGCAAATGAGATTCCAGAACCTTCTTCAGGTAAACGAGCTGAAGAAGATGACAAAGTCTGGGATCGCGTCTTAAATTCAGACAGAAGACATGTTTTATTGTCGATGGTAGAGACAGCACGAACAACAGATACAACAGAATGCAAGTGTATTATACAGAGCAGAGGCATGGAGACCTCCAATCAGCAGCTTCCACGGTGCCATGTAGCTTGGCCTTCAGATAGACAAAACAAGGGAAAAGTACTGGCTTCTGCACATTGATAGAATGATGAGTTTAACCTTAACAAAAGTTGCTTCAAAGTGTTATGAAATCTCACAGAGCTAAGGCAAGAAAATAAGATGTTGTGGAATCCTCATGAAGGGCAAGGAGGGAAGCTGATGTCTCCTCAGAGTCTGTGGATAATCAAAGGAAACTTTTGTTTCCTTGTTTGGATTGGATGCTGGCTGAACTTGAGGTTTTCTGGTGTTAGTCAGATGTTGCTTCAAGGTGTTCAAGCATGCAGTCTTTTGTCTGAGCATGATTTGTCAACACTGGCCCAACATTATCACATTGATCTGAGGACAGAAGAAGTGATTGTCGCTAAAAATTACCTTAAGCGCAAGAGTGAGGCAATGCCAATGCAAGACATGCTCTCAGTGTACAACCTCTGGGAAAATGAGGTGTTTCCATCCCTAAAAACAGTTTTACAGGTTGCATTCCTGTCAGCAGCTGTAGCTCTTAGTTGACAATGACCTCTGGTCAAAGTAGGATTCACAACCTGCAGTTATGTCAGTTGAAAAGGAAGTTCTTGACAAAATGGACAGATTTACACGACTGAGAGTGAGGCACCACAGATGAACTCTTTAAGAATCAGGCCGTGTTATTTACAGTATGCTGCATTTCAGAATTTATTGTAAGATACGTTGTCATTTTTGTAACTAATTTTGCAGTTTGTTGTACGTTGTACTCATGAGCCTGTTCTAATGATGTATTATTGTACTATTATTACAATAAATTTCCCTCATATCGAAATTCCATCTATCTATGCCCCTCCCACCCCAAGGTGCTAAGCACCCCTGAAGCTGAAAGTCTAAAATCGCCCCTGGTTTGAAGACTCAGGAGGTTAAGTATAACCTGCAAACTACTATCCACAGAGGAGTTCAAATGTAAAGTGCTTAAACCAATGGTTCCTATGTGTTTTTTGATTGGTACTTTGGTAATTTGGTAGTCTGGTAGTTTGATTCCCTGATCTAATGTTAGTGAATTGACGACTTTGTAAAGTCCTCCGAGTAGACTGCTGTTGTGAAACAGGACTATACAAAAATAAAACAACAATCAAAAAACTATGGGGATTCTGAATGAAGAATTATACTTCCAGAAACTAAAATCTCTGCCCACTTCACAAGTACGTTACTGTCTCACTGATCCAAAGATGTGCACTTTTTATTTTTCACTTAGGGCTTGAGTAAAAGTGAATCACGAATACCCATATTTTTGCAACTTACCACCTTCCTTGAATGAATCTGCAGATAGGAGTGTAAAAAGGCTTGAACCAAATTGACTCCCTGAGCAACTTGCGTGTGTGTTTGTGCTCTTTAAACGTCTGCCTGGATCCTGTGAGTCAGATTGGAGACATTTCAAATATTGGACCCATTTGAAAGTGGTCGGTTTTCACAGGACCACTTTAAAGTCTGTTAAAGTGCTGAAATGCGATCTTGTTGACCGCGAGTACCTGGTTGTTCTGACCCGGCCTGCCCCAAAATCACTCCATTGGGACTTGCTCACCCCCTCCTTCTTCCTCACCATCATCATCCTCCCCCTTCTCCTCCCATCTGCTATTTGATTGATGAGAAATATGTGCATGAAAGTTCAACGCTTTTATTGTCACGCTGTGCTGTTTTGCAGAAAAATAACTGTGAAAATCCCATTCATAAAAGAACTCTTAATGTATTAGAACTTATAACAAACATTCTTATGAGTAATTAAAAACTATAATACTTAGTTTAAATTCACTTAGGTGCCCACCCGCACTCAAAACACATATATTCAGACCTATTCACTGTGACCCTACATTGCACTGTCAATTTTTAACTGTAAGCTTTCAAGTGTTCCCTTTGTAAGGCAACCTTGAGTGCCCAGAAAGGCACCAAGAAGATAAAATGTATTAACAAATAGGTCCCAATTCCACGTTTTTTCCTGAAACTTGTGTTGACTTGGGTTTTTGTCAAGTCAATATATCAAAAGTCAGCGGGAACTAATGCTGTGTTCGAGGGAGCTGAGAAGTGGGACATTTTCACGGTTGAAAAATCCAAGTTCCAGTAAATTAACTTGATGAATCGTGCAACAAACTGCAAAAACTATGATGATGGACTCAATTCAATGTATTTTTGTATAGCCCTAAATCACCATAGCAGTTATCTCAGAGGACTCAATTTCGCCAACAGCAGAATTAAACGATTGGAACAAAGAAAATGCAATAATAAAAAACCCCTAAGGAGCCATTGGTTCATAGAGAGCGGGATGAGAAATGTCCATAAATGTCCTGGATCATCACAGTCCTTAGACCCTCCTGCATTGCAGAGGAAAAAAAAAACCTTAAAACCCAGTGGGGGAAAGAGAGAGCAAGCTGGGTGATATGGTTCTCATTATTGTGATGAATATTATTGTGGTAAAATCAGGTGAAACTTAAAGGAAACTAACAAGAAATGTACAATAAGAAACTAATATATGACAATCTTGGTTTGGGTTTATGGTGCGTTCAAGGCAGCAGCTGAAACTCCGAAAATTAAAATAATATTCAGAAGTGCATGAATAACTTAATTTCAACTTAAAATGTGAATCTATTATATGATACAGACTCATTACAAGCAAACAAAGACATATGTCACTTTGATTTTAATCAAATAAAATATCGTACATATTGGCTTCACATTTTAAGTTGAATTAGAGAAATAAATGAACTATTCTGAACTAGTTCCCAGCTGCATTGAACGCACCATAGACCCTAACCAAGCAACACACTGACTGTTACAAAAGAATGACATCAGTAAAGTATTAGTTCATGACAAGTTAAAACAGTTTTTCTTCTTCTTCTTTAATTTTTACAAGTATTTATTCTTTATCTCTTGTTAATAACCTAAATTCACCCTTCGCCTGCTCCTTCACTCAAACTTTGTGAGATGACATTAGCAGACCAATCTCCAGCCCACAATGGACGTGTTATTGTAATACAGTCGGGGCACTGTTCTGGTTGGGCTCCGAAATCTCTTGCAGATGGTGACTCGGGCCCTATGTTTAATTTCCTTTTCTTGTCGGAGGTAATTGCGCCGCCACAGCTGTCACTCTGCGTTCTTTATCGCTGACTTCCACATTTTAGTCTGCGCTTTCTAATGTGAGACGCTGACACATACAACCAAAGCATGTCAGATCACTTAAATGAATAGTGATGCTGTTTATTTTTGCTGCTGTTAGAGACAAATGGTGGAGACACTGTGGGCAAACTTTTCTATTTCTCGAGTCAATGAAGTGTGCTTTCTCCAGAAAATCACAGTATGAAATAATCCTGGTTTTGTACAATAATTGAAAGAACAAATTTGATTGCATTTGAAGTTACTTTAATTACATCTACATCTGTGTCTCCAGACAATAGGTCAACATATACAAATGTTTAAATGTTTTAGTTTTTGTAACAAACATGATGTCCATAATATTTATGTTTCAAGAAGATAATTCATTTGGGTAGAATTTGGGTTGCCAGTTTGTTATACATATTGTATTTTTCACAAACAAAAGAATAGCCTGTTGTTTGTGTGCGCTGTAAAAATGGTATTTGGGCTTTAGCTGTGTGAAGGTACAATTCCACTCAAAACCAAAGACATTTTTTTCTGTACTAAATGTAAAGTGAATTTATGGTTCAAAACAACTTGTCGCAGCATCACACAATTCTCAAGTGGTTTAATTAAGTCTATCTAATTCCTACAATCATGTTTTTGTGCGTGTGATGACGTAACCACGTTTGGGCCTGTTTGTTTATGTTTATTTATGTTGTTTGAACTAAAGCAGATACAAAAATAAGTAATAAAAAGAGTTTGTACCTCTTTCTAGCTAAACTCCAGCAGGTGGATTGCATCAGTATATAGCACTTAGGAGCTAAATGTGTCACAGGCAGGAAGATTCTGGCAACAAAAGTGTGATTGTAATTGTACTGACTTTAGAAGAGTGCATGTTACGTACTGCCCCTTTAAATCCCAGAATTATAACTTTTTGCCCCAGAATTATAACTTTTTGCCGTTCTTGTGTGTTGCAGAGTCGTAGCAGTAGTATTGGACCAACGTGTAATGGAAGAAATGGTTTAATGGTAAGAATAATAATTATATTGTGAAGTTAAAGGATCGTAAGACATTCAATCACAGATGCTGATTCAAAAACACCTCACAGATTATTGTTGCTTATGTAGTTGATAATTGCATAAGATCGATCCTTTTCAATATTTTGTCATTATGGGTTAAATTGATGTGGGAGGAGAGGCAAAAAACTCAATACAAATGGAATAGACTAATTGCTTTTTCTCATACACACTCTGAATGCCTGAGAGATTGCAACGATATACCATTTTCATGTCCTTAATTAGATTTTAAATTAGTATAAAGGAAATAATTAAAATACATTCTGGATTATTTGAAGTCAAACACAATTAAAACATCTCCGGATACATGTATGTGTGCATGTATGTTTACGTGAACATGTGAAGTCGCCAAGTTTTTTATTTTTTATTTTCATACATTTTTGTTACTCTATTATTATTATTTTACTTATTTTCTGTCATTCCCCTGTTTTGCAAAATTTTCTTACATTTTTCTCCCCTTAAATGAAAAATTAAACGTTATAAGAATACAAAAAGTATATTGGACCATGAAGATGAAGACCACGTTTAATTAAAATCCACTCCTGTGTTTTTACTCTTGCTGCAGTCTCACAGGCCTCTTTTTCAGAATGGATTACCGAGCAGAGACGGGAGCCTGGTGCTGCGCTACATTCCTGATCCCACAGACAAGTTTTTGGACGGAGCCTTCCAGCCAGCTCCAGGCGAGTGTTTGACAACCAAATCTGATCAATCTCCAGCTGAGGGAAAAGAGGGACACCTAGTGGATAAAACACAGTTGATCAGACTTAAAGGAGACACAATTATATATATATATTTTTTTTTTGCTTTTTACTATGTTACAACTACTGCCACGTTTACAGAAGGATCCTGGGAAACGCATGTGCACATAGGAAAAGAGCTGGTTCTTTTTGGGGAGAGATTTAGATAAGATAAGATTATATGAGATAGCCCTTTATTACAGTGCGGAAATTATAATGTCATCTTGGCGCACGTTACAGCAGAATAAAAAGTAGGAAATAAGAGCGCTCAGATTGCACACGTCACACAGGATCTATTATTTAAGATAATTAAATAAAATAATTAAATAGAATAAAATAAAACTCTATAATTGCACTTCAGGTTCAGGATAGTGGACTAGTGGAGTATACACAGTGGTCAGCAGGAGGTATTTACAGATACTACTTAGCAAGCAGAGGATATGACTGGAATAAACAATAGTAATAATAGCAGCAGGTAAAGTCACTAGTAAAGTTACTAGTGAACAATCAGAACAGGAGAGTGACACGTGTATAGACTCAGCCGTTCTCATTGTACAGTCTGACAGCAGCAGGAAGGAAAGACCAGCAGGACCTCTCCTTCACACAGCAACCGTGAATAAGTCTGTCACTGTCAGATGTGAGCGTTGCAGTGATCATGTTGTGATCCAGGATGTCACAGGATTTCAATAAAACGATTTCATTATTACTATTTCACTATTTGTCGCTTTTGATAGTGTTGCTCATCTTACTCCTGTAAAAAAGTAACCGTGTTAGTAACTGTGCTCCAATTTCAGGAATGCATAAAATTATAATTTCATGAACATAAAAGTCAAGGACAGGAACATAATGAAATAAAAGTCCAAGGTAAAAACAAATTCAACATCCAAACAGAACACAGGAAACAGGAAACCGACAGATGAGGACAAACAAAGACAATCAAAGACAACGGACCAGCCACAAAGGGAGAGGAGCACACAGAAAGACTCAGGTGAAACACAATAGGGCGGGCAGACAATCAACACAGGGGAACAGGACAGGAAGTAAAACTAAAACAAAACCACAGAGAACTGAAAACAAAACCAAAGTATAAAATAACACAACAATCCACTCCATGACACCAGCTGAATTAACTTCTGAATTACCAAAGAAAACACCAGAGACTCAAATATGACTTCTTATGTTAAGCACTGTTTCATCTGTAAGAGTCATCAATGCAAAACAAACACACGTCCACTGTCCAGTTAGAGCAGTCATCACATCAGGGGTGGACTGGGGCAAAGAAACAGCCCTGGACTCTGGTCAGCTCCAGACTTCCAGCTTCAGACGTCACCATGTCCCTTTTGAAGTAACAATCACTGCATCATTTTTTGTTCATTTTGTGACATTTTGAAACATATTTAATTCAGTGGGATGTGTTTGTTTTTTTTCTCGCTGTTGCTTTAGCTTTAGCTTTCAAAACCACATTAAAAGCCCTCATTCTTCATGACCTCGGATGATACGACCACGTTTTTAGCCCCGAGTTTGATCAGTGCAAAATGAAGGGAATGAAGTGAATGAATGAAATTGTGTGTGCGTCTATCAATCAAGTAATCGATCGAGTTTATTTATGAAGCATAATTCATGCTGTGGCCCCCAAAGTGCTTTACACGGACTTAAAATCATACACATTTACAAACTCGATATATAAAACTCAGACACAGCACAGCTAAAAAGAACAGGTTTTTCTCTTCGACTTAAGCAATGCCAGATTGTTGGGGCATGCACCTGAAACGCTGCCTCCCCAAGCCTACTGTAGTCCTGACTCTGGGACCAGCAGGAGGCCAGTCCCTGTGCTCCTCAGAGTCTACAGGAGCAGGAACAGAAAAACTCCTTGACACTCCTATGATGAGGAAGATGAGCAACAGTGCCTGGAATTATTGTCAGAAATAATAATTTACTAATAGTTAATTGTGGAATTCATCACTGCATAATCACTGCATAATCACTGCATCATCATCGACGTCCTCCCCCCTCCCACCATTTGAGCAGTCCCCACCTGACCTGGAGGTTTTGCATTATTTTATCCAGTATACATATTCATCAAAATACACTATGTATTATTTCACATTCTAAAGCATGAATGATTGAAGCCTTCTATTTACTCATTCTTACCGTAGAGTGGAGGGAGACACAGGTGGCATTTGTCCCAATCATGATTCTTGTGGTTCAAGTAGAGATCAAAAAGTCAATGTTCTGTTCACTGCAAAACCATTACTTAACATTACTTAGTTAAAGATATATAGGAGGATTTTCTACTTCCGGGTGGATCATCAAGACAGTAGATGATACATGCTCGTCTAATAAGATCAGAGAGTTTTGTTCAAAAAGTAGAGAAGTTGGCTCTTTCCTAACATTTTGGAAAATCCTCCAATATATCTTTTAAAGAAGATGAATTATATGATTAATCTGAAAGCAAGGTAGGGTCTGGTTAGTAATGAGATGGGAGGCCACTGGGAACTCTAGGAGCCACAGTGGGGAAGCTGTGAGTGTGAAGTGTCAAACTGTCATTTGTGTTCTTAGGCAAGACACTTCCCCCATGTTGTCTAGTACAAGTCTAGTGCGTTTTTGCATTTGCGTGTGTTTGGTCCGTCAGTCTTGTCCTGTTGGATACAGTAGGATTTGTATGATTCTTGACAGATGTGAGATATGACGTCTGCTTATATATATTTAACTTGCTTTTCAACATATCTTCCTCACTTTTCCTGCAGACTACATGAACCAAAATGAAGTCTCAGACGTGATGAACCCAAACTACCAGCACCCCGCCCCCCCGCGCACTCACCTCCCTACCATCTCCTCCCAGGAAGACCCCGAGTCCGAGTACTTAAACTGCTTCAAACCCGAGCACTCCGCGCCCGAATACCTCAACCAAACTCACGCTCCTTCCATCACGGCAAACGGCACGTCCCACAAGATCCACCCCCAGAAATACAACCCCCAGACCAGCATGGACAATCCGGACTACCAGCAGGACTTTGTACCGCTGTTTAAGACGCACACAAATGGACATGTTCCTGCGGCAGAAAACGCAGAGTATTTGGGACCAGACTGACATACAGTACATACAGTATATCACATATATATAGACTATTTCCTGTTCTAAGGCGGCAATTACATATGCTGGGAAGTGGTGCTGGTTAAAGCTATGTCGCCCAGTTTAAAAGGGCCACACTTTGCCTTGGCACAACTATCATTTTTCACATAGAGGAGGCTTTGTACTTTTGAAGTCAACCTCTTATTGCGGGACATTTTGTCATTGTCCCATTGAGATTAAAGGAAAGCCATCTGCATTTACTCACTGTCGCCCGTTTCAAAGGACTGGCAGCTTCTTTGCCAAAGCTTGTGCTGGTACTGAAAAGACAGAAGTTGTAACTGGTGTGGACGGATAGAAATAACGGCAATGCGAAAGGCCAGAGAAGAGATCTGTTCATATAAATGCTGGTGTGATGACACTCCCCCTGGTGGACAGAGAGAAAAGGTTTTCTCTGTGTGGGCAGTAAAAAGGAAAACTTGGCAACTTTTATAAAAATTGGGCATTAAAACCAAAATTGAGAAGCAAATTTTCTTCATATTATTTGATTATATTATCCATAAAGTATCATGCTCAAATTGATTTGTTGTTATAACTGGCTAGAAATGGATTTGACAAGGACCAAAGAGTAAATCGGTCCAAATGAGACATGTGTTTTGTGAATGAAAGTGTTTTGCTTGATCGATGTATATACGTAATGATCATTTTGCATTATATCCAGTATCCCTTATATGTGATGTGTTTGTGTGGAAAGAACGAACCGAGTGTGAGGGGCAGAAGTTCACACTGCTGCTGGTTTGTATGTTTCTAAATGTCAGCACACCTGTAGCATAAGGCCTCTTTGTGAGCGCTAATCTCTCATATCAAAGACCCAGTCGGCACATCCGCTATCTATTAGTAAGTAAGTAAGTAAGTAAGTAAGCTTTATTTATATACCGCCTTTCACAGACCAGAGTCACAAAGCGGTTTACAATTGTTATTTTTTGGGCATTTATCTCAGTGACTTTTAATCAAGGGAGATATCGGATTTTCAGCAAATGTTAAAAAGATGCATCAAGCCACTTTTCAGCAGCCTTCAAGAGAGACTGTGCAAAAAATGGTAGATTAAAATTCACATCAACAAGTTTTAGAGAAAAATTTTGATCAAGTGTCAAATTAAAACTAAACTGTGTCTCTTTTTAATTATGAATGTCCTTAAGATGAAGCCTATGACTAAAAGTAAACAAATTATTAGCAACTATCTCAGTTGAGTTGCTCTTTGCCACCAGGTTTTCAAAGTAATGACCTTATGACAGTCAAAATATTTGTTATTAAATAGTTTTTAGCTCTTTTATTTGTAATTAAGCACAACATTTTATAGGTAAAACAATTCTAAACATATACTTTTTTTCTCACTTGTGCTATTAATTGACATGCAACTTGCATAATGTTGGCCAATGATATTGATTTTCTGAGCTAGAGGAATTCCCAATAATATCCAACCTATAGTTGAAAATGGTAGCTGTTTCTTTTATTTATCTTTTAACCAAATTCAACCATTAAACTTGACACTTTTTTACCAAATCACAAAGAAGAGTTGCCCTTTTAATAGATCAGTAATACATGTATGTCCTACTTTATTGTTGTTACATAGACTGAGGTCCTTATATTTTATGTATAAAAAAAAAAGTGTAAAAATGTTGACACAAAATTTTAAAACGTTAAAGTCTTGTGCTTTTGCAAGAGTTTAAACTTGTGTATATATTTTTTTATTCCTAGTTTTAAAGGAATATTTTAGTGCGTAGTGAGCTCAAAGCCAAGTGGACTTGTGCTGGTTTCACACAGGTACCTGTACAGAAGTAGTGAGTGAATGATGTGATATACAAACAAATATAGGCACCTATAATTTATACAATATTCAATCATAGAGTTTTCCCAGATGTGAATACGCACCGGTTTCTGAAATACAGTAGATTCTGTCAAATAAATCTTTTTTTTATGAAACTGTGTCGGAGTTTTACTATGTGTTCTGTGTTTAGTCCTTTCACATTGAATTGAGATTTGTTTTGATATATTTTTTAATACAAGCATTGGTGAGTCTGTTTTCCTTTAGTTTAAATTTTAACTTTTTTTATCGTAGTAAAATTTTGTTCATAATCACATTACAACAATTATTGATGTTTCTTGATTCACTTATTTCCCCAGACGAGCAGAAAACAAACAGCAACCCTTCAAACATCATTGATGAAATGCCTTTGTCTGATAAACACTGAACTCTTTATCCTCCTCTTTGCTGATGTCTGTTTCTACAATTGGATATGTTAGAGATTAGGCCTGAATTTGGTGCAGCACACTTTATGGAAAAATATGTTTTCAAATCTGTATCGTGTGGTCAAAAGGCAAAGCTCTCCATTTACCGGTCACTCTAGCATTGGTCATGGGCTTTCTATAATAAATGGACGAGATCGCATATTTAAGTGGTTGATATGATTGAGGTGCTGCGGGCACTCCCTGAGAGTTCTGTCACCCCGGAGGAGCTCTGAGTAGAGTTGCTGTTCCTCCTCTTTGAAAAGAGCCAGTTGAGGTGTTCCGGGAATGACCCTCGAAACAAAAAGGACATGCTGCTGTTTCCCCTGATTAGATGGACCAGAGGAGTGTGTATGGAGTTTGGAGACGGAACTCAGGGTGTCTCTGCACCAACTGCTGCAGTTGCAACCCAGCAACGGATAAAGCAACATGGAATGGATGGATAACATGTTATTAAATGCTTTATACCCTTCATATTCACATTGTGTAATCACTGACATGCTGTGGACCTGTCTATATATGGGCCCAAACATGTCAATCAAATGTTTGGCTGAAGACTGTATCTGTGCATTAGAGTGTCAGAAACAGAAATTCACTTTGGTGTTTGGAAACTATTGAGGATATGTTTTTATGATTAATAAGACAAAGCAGTGCAATCCCTCAATCATCTAAGAATGAATCATCTTAAGAAAGTTTCAACACTAGTCATCTTGACCAAGTTTTAGTCACTGTGTACAACTGGTCCTTTCCAAGCAAGGGTGGCCACTCCTCAACAATGCATATGACTAACACCAAGCCACAGAATGCTTGTGAGCAAATGTATTTAGACTATACTTTATCTCTTGGTATTCAGAATGCAATTCCTATCCAAATTCTTATTGTCTTTTTCATTCAATTTAGGCTTTAAAAACACATCTAATATCATCAAAATAACGTCATAGTAGTGGTGCAGAGGACACTTTTTATTTAATTTACACTCAATTTTACACTATAATGTCATCTAAATGAGTATTCTAATTATTCAAAATACAGTACTCTGTACTCTGTATTTAAATATATTTCAATGCGGGTTTTCATTTTTCTGTTCCTTAACACATGTTTTAAATAAGTTGTTTTAAATAAATGATGTACTAAATGGTCATCGTATGTTGTGTGGGCTTCATAAACAGCTTTTATTAAACCGATTATCAGTGCAGTGCAGGACTTCGTCACGAGGTGGCAGCACCGTGACACGCATGCGCAGTCTCCGCCCAGAGGAAGCAGGTCAGACAACAACAAGAATCTGACATGCTAAAGTTCTTTTTGGTCTCTCACATTCTGCCTGTGCCGTGACCGCGATGGTGCCAGGACACAAACCCACTTCTCTCTGCTGCTTTTTAACCTTCATCTTTCTCTGCGTGGGACATTTGGGACATTTGCTGTCGGTGAGTGCAACTTCAGACTAGCCACCGCTGCTGTAAGGTGTTGGCTAGCGGTGTCCAGCTTGGAAGTAACTCTCTAAACAAGTCCATTTCTGAAAATCTACTTCCAAAAATGATGATATTGTGTGCTGTATTGCTCGAACACGGCTGGGTGGTTCACTGGGGACCTGCTAGTTTACAGTCTATGGTCATGACGAGCGAAAACACTGACATTTGCAAAAACATGGTTACAATGTCCATAAACATAAAAGTAGTGTCAATGATTACTTGTGTACTCATTGATACTACTGTGTTTAAGTGTTTTATTTACTCTTTTTCACCAATCGTGCTAGTTTGTATTTATCTACAGAATGTGTGAAATCTTGAATGAAACTTGACGAGTTGAGAAGCAGAGGACATTGCTCAATCCAAGGCATCTGGAGATGTGTGAGCTGTGACTAACCACTGCCTTTGTGTGTCATAGTTTTGTTTTGTGTTTCCACGACATCTATGCTTTTTCATTATTCACAAATCACATGTGATCAATTTACATACAATACATAGAGGTGTCTTTATCAGCTGATCACTTGTTGAATGCTTGTCAAGTTGCTGATAAGTGAATGCTGTACATTATAACTAATGATATATAAATTATTCAATAGATGCATTAATTGTATAATACAAAAACATATCATGCTGTTAAATGCATGAGTTTCCACAGAGATAAACTCAACTCAAAATGACACCAAGATATAAGTGTAAGTAATATAGGATATTAAATCAATTTTAAAAGAATAGGAAAGTTGTTCTGAAGTTATGTCCAGTTTGCCCTGAAGAAGTCCAGAAGGCAGAAACGCTTAGGCATATTATTCACATCTTTTTCCATGTTAAATAACGGCTTTTAAAGATTTCTGTGACCTTTTGAGTGGCTCAGTCTCAAAGCACATGATAAAACTAATAATTGGTTTGTAATCACAGTCATACAGTGTTCATTATTTAGCTATTTACATCAGACCATGATAAAATTGCCAGACATTGATTAACATACAAATGAGCATATTTCTCTATATGCTGTGTTTTATAGTCACTAGTAACCCAGCCCTATACCTTCATTATACTATATCTCTGTGCACTTTTAGACCTCAGCATGTCCTTATCTGAACACACAACGCGGTCACAATAACACAGCTTAGTAACATGTTTGTTTCTACACTATTCAATGCCAATGAAGGTCCTTGAACTTAATCCCTTCAGCAGAAGTAGGCCAGGGGACGCTGGGTTTACTCACGCTCTAAACTGAGTGAATTAACTTCCCTATGTCATCCTAGTCACATGTGAGGACTCTTCTGCTGATTAGGCATTTTGTTTCAATGCATAAGTGTCTTTTATGTTTCAATGCAATGCACCAGCACCAGGACAGCCCATATGGTACTGACTAACCAGGATGTTAATATCTATAAGTCTGTTCAATATGCATGAATCAAATCAAATAATGATTGATTTCACTTCTTTGGTCAAATCTTCAGTGAACACTCTTCTGTTGTCCCTTTTAAAAAGTACCTCTTCAAGGAAATATAAAATGACTCATGCATTATAAATGTATACGTTGTCATTTGTAATTGTGGTCTGGCACAAAATAAAAAATCTTCTTTTCCTGTAAAAATGTGGTAACCCTCAAGCTTGCTAGTAGAAGTGCTTCTAATGTTAGTTGGATGAAATCATTAAATTCTGAGACATTCAAAAAAATAATGTTCATTAAATATTCCAAATACCGTCAACCTTCATTATGACGCCGCTGCCATGATAGCATTGTGTTAAAGTGAAGGACTGGAAGTATTTATTTTACTTTTGCAAACAGTAAGAGTAGATTAGATCAGAATACTTTTACAGAAAGGACAGGTTTCATTTAAGAAGAGAGTAAAGCAAGGTCTGTTTGGAACTATGATGGTAGTATGTTTTCCCTGTCTGCACAGTTCTGTTGCATTTTGAATACACAGAATTCAATGTGGAGACCTTTTTGAGTTGGACAAAATAGCTACCAAAAGCAAATATTGACCCCCGAATTCCAGTCAAACTTATCTTTAGCTGTGTCCTACTGATCCCTGATAGTGTTGATTCTAAACTTTGCATTATGTCATCTTTGCTCTTTTTTCCGCCAGGTGGGGGCCGATCACTGTGTCTGGTATGGGGAGTGTGGCCCATTGAAGGTGGCTGGCAAAAAATATAACTGCAACTACACAGGACCTCCTAAACCACTGGAGCCTGCAGGATATGATCTCCTCACGGTACAGGGCTCACTCTTGTGTTATGCGGCTGAAATCCATTGTGCTAAAGTAAATACTGATAGTGACATCTTTGCTGCAGGAGCTTTGTCCGGCTTTCGACGCGGGGGACCGGGCAATCTGCTGTAATGTTGACCAGTTACAAACGCTGAAGGGAAGTCTGCAGCTGCCCCTTCAGTTCCTGTCTCGGTATGTGCTCTGTTTGTCAAATTAACTAATGAAGCGCGTGACTTTCGAAGAATCTATCTCACACTTTGAATCTATTTGTGGAATGTGTCTTTTAGATGATATGAGTACTTATATATCCACATTTACTGAGATGGTGTCAATAAACATGTACCCTTTCAGATTGGGCGCATATGTTTGACAAACGTCCACATCTTCACAGTTTGAAAAGTATATTACCTTTACTTTAATCGATTACTTGATTAGTTCACACAATGCCAGTGTGCCAAGCTAAAATGAGGCCACTCAGCATCTACAGGATAAGTTTAAATATTGTTTAAAACTGTCATCTCTTTCTGTAGTGATTTTTTCCCCCCCCTAAAACATTCTAAATTTGGTTATGAAATAATTGTTGAAACTGATGTGTTCAGGATATCTGTGACACCAAACTGTATAAAAAGTAAAATGTGCTCTGTGATAAATCCAGCCTTTGGGAAAGTCAAGTACAATAACCCTGGCATTGTCCACCTTTATTGTCCCTCAGATCTATGAAGCTAAGCAGGACAGGGCCTGGTTAGAGATGTGATGGTGCCACAGTTGGGAGAATGCGTCTGTAAATGAGTTTGGTGTGTGCACAAATAGTGGTCAGAGGTTCTGATGGCACATACTGGTTGCCTCACTTCTGTCAGTGTGCCCCGGGCAGCTGGTTTATCACCACCGTGTAGGAGTGAATGAATAATGACATGTGAAGCGTATATGCATGCCCATAAATGTATTATTATAATTTCTTTGTTTAGATTTAATTCAATAAATAAACTATTATTGTTATTATCACATTTTCATTTATTGTGAATCTGCTTAATAATCAACAAAAGCCTTCACTGCTGAGCTGTCTCTAACAATGATAACAATGATAACGGGAAACTGGAAAATATTGAGATTTAAAAGTAGTAAGGAGCACAGTTTTATTTGGAGTAAGAATGTTTACCAAAAGATGCGTGACATTATGAAACTTAAGTTATGATTGGAAGTTTTCGACTAATCGCTTGTAAATCCTGGAAAGTGAGAAAGAATAGCGGTGGGCTTATTCAGAAAGCCTCCAGCACAATATTACTCATACACAAATCATCCAAATAAAACTCTGAGGAAGCTGAAGGCGGACGCTGACTTGTAGAAGTTGATTACATCGACCTAATGGGAATTGCAAACTCAATTTGTTTGGTTGTTCCCAGATTTGTCTGAAGTATGCACTCAAATGGCTGGTTGTGGAGGAAGAGTTGAAAGAGGCTTAAATTCAACATGTTTTAACCGGTTTGGCTAAAACTGGGCGTCTTGTGAGATCACTCATTCACAAAAAAGAACATCTTGTCCCCAAAACAAAAGGGGCGTGTCTGTTGGTCTGTGTCTCTTGAACTGGACTACGTTTTATTCACATGAGGCAAAAAGGATTTAGTAGAATACAAACTGACATTGACATTGTGTTTAATTTAGTTTGCACGGAATTTTAATTGGCATTTTGTGTGTGTGTGTATAAAACCAATATTTTTTGGAGAATTTCCCATTACATTGTTGGTATTTATTGCAAAATCATATAATTAGACCTGTCAAATGTCTTTCTGTCTTTGTGTGCAGATGCCCAGCTTGTTATTTTAACTTGATGACCTTGTTCTGCGAGCTGACATGCAGCCCAAACCAGAGCCAGTTCATGAACGCCACAAACGTCAACGTCACGACAAACGATATCCTCGAAGTCCAGTACTACATCGGACAGAGATTTACAGATGGTAATTCCTCAACACGTTCAAGTGACACTCAGAATATGTAGAATATCGTTCAAAAGTCTGTGATTCAACTTACAATGTGAAACTAATTTGTGAGTCGTTAAGAGAAAAGTGATCTATATAAAGCCAAAATTTATAAAAGGTTGATGAATGTGGTTCACGAGATGTAAAGAATAAAACTATATATACTGTAATCCTCTATTATATAACGACCAAAGACATAATGTATTCATGTAAGATCCCAAAATACATTTTTCTTTGGTCACACTGCTGCTAGCACCTCTGTTGTATCACTTCCCTAAGTTTGAAAGACATCTGTGCAAAGCTTTATTGGTGACTAGTGGTCGTAGCTGAATTAAAAATTACACAAGAGGAAAAGCTTACATACACATTTCTGAAACCATTAAACAAAGAAACCCTAACCCTAAAAAAGGAAAAACATCAAAACACAAAATTGATGTATTTTTGTATTTCTTTAGCTATGTACAACGCCTGTAAAGATGTCCAAGCTCCCTCGAGTAACGTCAAGGCCCTGTCCCTTCTCTGTGGGAAAGACGCCAGTCAATGTAATGCCACAAACTGGATCCAGTACATGTTCGACATCAGCAACGGGCAGACTCCGTTCTCCATAGTGCCCAAGTTCTCTGGTAAGGTCCACTACATGCACTTGTTTTTCAATTGATTAATTAATGCAATTTTATTTTTTTGTTTTAAATACTCATGCATCAACATGTTTGTAGAGTCCTCCGAGATGACTCTTCCACTTTAAAACTATAATTTTAGATGGCTACAGGAACTCAGAATCTTAATGTGTATACAACTGCTTCTGTAAATCCTAAGCTATACATTCTACTATTAGTACTATTTACTAGTACTATTTTACTATTGACACAAAAAGGTTCGGCCAAATAAGTTAAGCCTTAGTGACTGTTCTGTTGCATTGTATATAAATGTGTTGGTAATCTAAATAAAACTTTATCCATTCAATTGGGATGTTAGTTTTTACCTAGCAGCAAGTGTTCTATTTCATCCCTCCGGCCCACCAGAGGGCGGTCATCAGGATTCATAGAACTATGGTTAAATACGTAAGCTTCGTTTTAACACGCAGCAAAGGAGGATGTTTTAGATATGTCTTCAAATAATTCAAAAGGCTGAATGTTTTGCATGTACCTGAGATACATTTGTTTTGTGTAAAAATAGCTGACTATTTATTTATTTGTTTATGGGACAGTACATGTCAATTAACATTGACAAATTGAGCAAATTTGTCGACATGTCAGTATGTAACCAAAGGCTAATTTTAATCTGTAAGATAGTTCCCTGTGTTCTACATTTCATTTAGTTTTTGTCTGAGATACAGGCGTCTTGTTGCTTTACAGTGAAGTTATCATTTGGATGTATTTCTGTCATCGACACACCCTTGGTTACGACGGTAGATGTATTAGTCCATTTCAACTATTCCACTTTTTCTTTATCGTAGACACGCCTCTCTCGGGCTTCGACCCCATGAACCTGGCCACGTTTAACTGCACCGAGGGCCTGGAGGACGGCTCGGGGCCCTGCTCGTGCCAGGACTGCTCTCAGGCCTGTGGTCCCTCCCCAGTGCCCCCCCCTCAGCTGCCTCCCTGGACCATTCTGGGGATGGATGCCATGGTGGTGATCATGTGGGTCTCCTACATGGGCTTCCTGCTGGTCTTTGTGGGAGCTGTGGTTGGAGCGTGGTGCTACAGGTAAACGGTTATCATAAAGGCTTATTTCCTCATACTTATTCCTTGCGCCGGTTTAGCAAGTGATATTAAACTGAAGTACCGCAGTCGTGGATTGCGTCAAGAGCAACCATGTCAACTATTTAATTTTCCTATCATAATTTGAACATAAGGAAACGTATAAAATATTTAGTCTGTCAATGCAACCTCACACAATGTATTTCATAGGATACAAACCGCTGCAGTTTTTTGTATTCTGACAACTGCTCGTTTCCTATATTTGCTTTTTATGCAGGAAAAGGACAATATTGTCTGAATATGGCCCTATTCTGGACAGCAACAACCCACTATCTCTCAACAGCGATAGACCTGATCAAGGTGAGACAAACGTTCGAATCAAATTCAATATTTTCTGTTTCTATTGTTAGACCCAATAATAGACCCCAGAACCAATGCAAATAACTATATAAAAAAATGCTAAATTCAGTATTCATTCATCATAATAGTTAACTAGGTGAACCTAAAGCAAATGCTAATATATTTTTAATGAGAGCAGCTCCAATAAAATCCAAAATTCATAGAACACCGGTTTCATTTATTCTTTGATCTAGATGTAATCCTTTGTCTCGTCAACTTCTAAAATAATTGTCAGGCTTCTGGTGGTAGCATTTATTAACTATCATGACTGGTGGCTTTTAAACATCGCGGTAAACCAGTTCATGTCTTAATTACTGACGTCGTTTGTTTGGTTGTTCTTTCCAGTAAACGCGTCGTACAGTGAGAGACTGGGCGAGCGTTTTGAGAGCGCCATGCGTGCGACCTTCAGCTCCTGGGGCTCCTTCTGCGTGCGCTGCCCCCTGCTGGTGATCCTGGGCAGCATCATCCTGGTGATGGCGTCCTCTGGCGGTCTGGTCTACATGCGCATCACCACCGACCCCGTGGAGCTGTGGTCGTCTCCCAGCAGCCAGGCGCGCGTGGAGAAAGACTACTTTGACAGCCATTTCGGGCCCTTTTTCAGAACGGCTCAGCTGATCATCACAACTCCTCTGAACAAGCCGGATGTTTACTCGCCGTACATCCCTGGACCTGATGTGCCGTTCAACACTATTCTCACTAAAGATATTCTGCATCAGGTAAACTAGAAATAGGAAATTATTTGAAAATCAAAATTCCCTGTTCACTACTTTCTTACTCCTTGTCAAAAGAAAATATTGAGCATTCAAGCTTATTTCTCAAGTAGGTACCAATGACTCATGCACAGAATAGCCATGGATCTGTGAAGTGGGCGGAGCTTAGGTTTCCTGAAGTCTTTTTCAAAATCTCTTTACAAGTTGAAGTTTAGAGACATGACGGGGTTGAATTTCTACCTGAAACACAGATAAAATGTGTAAATGTTTTCATGTTTTATTTATATTAATGTAGGTTCCACTTATTTTTCAAAGTCCTTTGTTTCTCGCTGTAACATGTTTACATTGTTTACAGTGATGTAATGTCGCTCCTGTCTCATTCCTCTGATAGTATGATGTAATTGCGAGTAGATTTCTGCCTTTAAAACTAGTATTGCCCATACATTTTGTTTTGGCATTCGTACAATTTATTTAAATCGCTCATTTACAACTAGAAGAGCCCTCAATGGGAGTGTATGGCAGCTGGTAATTTTCAAATGTAGTTATAGCATAGGGAGTTACTGGTGTAAAGCATTTGTTATCATTCATCTTTCACCGTATACTTTATACCTATGATTTGATTTTATAATTACACTTCACAGGATGTGAAATTATTTGTCCCCTTTTTATTATATGTCTTCTTTAAAGTTGGGGCTAACCTCTTCTCCTTTTCCTCTTTCACTGTTTTGTGAAGGTTTTGGATCTGCAGCTTCAAATTGAAAACATTGTGGCGACATTTGAAGGGGAAAACGTGACACTGGAGGATATTTGTTTGGCTCCTTTGGCTCCGCTCAACAACAACTGTACCGTCCTCAGCGTCTTGAACTACTTTCAGAACAGCCACGAGGCCCTGGACCGGGTCAAAGGGGACGACTTTTTTGTCTATGCCGATTACCACAGCCACTTTCTCTACTGCGTCAGGTACGGCAGCAACTAACTTTTACATTTTAAAATAAATATATACTGCATAACTGTATTATAAATATCTACTTTTCATAGACCATGTATCTAGGTCTACTGTTATAGACTAAGAGGACTTTTTGTTGTTTAAAATAATTCTGATGACCAGCAAGAAAACCATAACCAGACATTTTCTGAACATGATTCTATGACATTGAATCAATGGAGAGACATTTATAATGGAAAAAATGACCTTCCATTTGAGACTGAAAGAAGGCAAATGAAAAACAAAATCAAGTAGTGGTGTTGTTGTACCCGCAGATTGTATGTTTTAAGTTTTTTGAACGTTGAAAACTTTTTTGTTATGAATAGAAAATCTACTAACACTGTAACATTTTTGAAGTTTTGATTAATTTACATAAGAAATGTTTGAGCATGACATCAAGTTTAACGCAGCGAAGAGTATGGTCATTTTCTGTCGGACAAAAGAGGACAGGCTCATGATTTTTCCTGACTTTTGGATTAATTATGTTGTTTTAAATGTAACAACAAAAACAAAGTACCTTGGATATGTCATCACTGTAGACACGACTGAAGACAATGACATTCACAGACAGTGCAGGATGCTGTATGCACAGGCCAACATTCTCAGTCGTAAATTTGGCTTCTGCTCGACTGAAGTGAAAGGTTATTTGTTTAAATCTTACTGTACACCACTGTACATGACTCACCTTTGGACTAACTATAAAAGAGCCAGTCTGCACAAGCTGCAGGTGGCCAAGAGAAAGCCACGATGTACCAGTGCATCTGAGCTTTTTATCACCTCACGAGTTATGAACACTTTACAGGCTGTGCTGGTCTTATCTCAGTTATGCAGTCGAGGAGTTAGACTTTTTACATTCATCCTTAAATGAGCCTTGTCATAAAGGTTTTATTCACATGTGATACTTGCTCGCCTTTATACATGATGCAGGATGTCATGTCAGGCTTATACTGTACCAGAGGCAGGTCACTTGTATTCAATCTCTTCTCTGTTCCACTCTCAGTGCACCTGCCTCTCTCAACGACACCACTGAGCTGCATGACCCCTGCATGGGGACGTTTGGAGGTCCTGTGTTCCCCTGGATCGCTCTGGGAGGCTATGACGGTGAGAAGCAGTCAAACAGGTTCACATACAATAAATGGAAATGTCCGCCTGATCCTGTGTGTTATCACTGATGAATGATGGTCCTTTATTATTAGAACGTGTTTTTGTTTTAGTTTTTTCCCCCTTGCCTTCTTGATTTTTATAAACCCTGTTCAAAGTTCAATTCACATTTTAATTATCTGCCATAGAATTCGATGCTAAGCCTTTAGGCGCCAAAATAGCATTTCTACATGAGCATTTACCTTTGCAATGTTTTTCTTATATTTATATCTGGAATTGTTTTCAGTCCACCTTTTTATCTTTTTTAACGTCTCAAGGCTCCACCATTGCCTACTGTTTAATTCATCGTTGACAATAATAATTTTACAAGAACACTTTAGCGACGTAGGGATAACGTGTAACTTATAACATTTTTGTTTCATATTTTTCAATAATCAGCGACCAACTTCAACAACGCCACTGCGCTCGTGATCACATTTCCAATCAACAACTTCAAAAACAACACTGCACAGAAGGGCAAAGCTATGGCCTGGGAGAAAGAGTAAGTATATTACCACTTGCCTTATCACTACTTCCACATTTCTACTACTTTTATGGTCCTAATAATGATGATGTTTGCTGTTCCTTTTCATTTGTATCGTAGGTTTATCAGCTTTATGAAAAACTTCAACCATCCAAACCTGACCGTCTCCTTCAGTTCTGAGCGAAGCATCGAAGACGAGATCAACAGAGAGAGCAACAGTGACATCAGCACGATCATTCTCAGCTACGCCATCATGTTCATCTACATCTCGCTGGCTCTGGGACACATCGAGAGCTGTAGGCGTGTCTTGGTAGGAATCCCAGGAATTTTACAACACACACGTCAACCTATCAGCACGATCGTACGATACTTGGACCCTCCCTCTTTCCCTTTTTCGTCATGCACCGCTAATACTCAAAGCAGTCGAGCGAGTTTTCCGACACTGAACAAAGAATGACGTAATAACATGTGTTCCTTCGACAGGTGGATTCAAAGATTTCCCTGGGCATAGCAGGAATCCTGATTGTGCTCAGCTCTGTGGCGGCCTCTCTGGGCATTTTTAGTTACTTTGACGTGCCCCTCACCCTCATTGTGATTGAGGTGATCCCCTTCCTGGTTCTGGCGGTTGGCGTGGACAACATCTTTATTATAGTCCAAACCTACCAGGTAATTCAGTCACAAAAACCCAAATCCAACTGCTATTGCAAAAGAGAAATAGTTCCTAGTTTACAATCAGGTTCCTCAAACACACGGCCAAAAGTAGCCTGCAAGGTATTTCAGATTACGTGACTACTGACAGGAATTGTTTCTTTTTTTTGGTCGGGAAAGTTTCATCTTATCTTGAGTATTTTCAGAAAACAAACCACAGAAACCAATAAAATAGACCTGGTTTGGACTTCCTCTAACCCTGGTTTATCTCTGGTCTGGTTACAAAATTATTTAAAAAAAAATTACAAAAGAAAATTATTTTAATCTGTGTGTTGTATGTAGTGGTGTATACATTTACAAATGATTTTGTAACAAAATGTCTAACCTGGTTTCATACATTAAAATCCTTGCCTTTCTAACAGAGGGACGAGCGACTTCCAGACGAGACGCTTGACCAGCAGATTGGCCGTATCCTTGGAGATGTGGCTCCCAGCATGCTCCTCTCTTCCTTCTCTGAAACTGTGGCTTTTTTCCTTGGTAAAATGTACTATATTTTATATGTGTTAATGTTGAGTAACATCCAGTCTTTCATAAGCAAAAACTCTAGGATTTCTATGGAGGCCTGTTGTTGGCTTGTTAGATAGCGCCCATTATTTAAAGCTGGGGTACCTAACTTTTCAAACAAGTATCAATCTAATTCAATCTAACAAGTTCCTCACTTTCCTGGTTTTGTCACTAGTTTTCACATGCATGGTATTTCACCACTGTCAAATCTTTTCATCAGCATTTTTAAACAGAAAAGGGACATAGCCAATCAGCTCTCAGCCCAAAGTGTCAAATACTGACTCACAGGGCTCCTTCTTACAAGTATGCAAAAGTTGACATGTCATATATGGTGAAGGCGGCATGCTGCTGTTTGCCTCAGCAGAAAGTAAAATGTTGTGAACCAATTAAGCACATGTGTTATTTATGAAAACGTTCTGTATGCCAGCTTCAACAACAGTCCGTTAAACACATCAGTATTTGAATATTTAGAGAGTGTTGTTGATGTTACGACTTGGTTTTACATCATAAAGTGAGCTCTGGTTACACATTACGGCTGATTCTGTTTGACATATTCTAGTTTCCTCATTGTTGTTGCAGTTTGTTGCTCTGTCACATGCTGATAATACTGTTGACCTGTCCTTTTCCAGGAGCTCTGTCCAACATGCCGGCAGTGAGGACCTTCTCTCTGTTTGCTGGTTTGGCGGTTTTTATTGATTTCCTGTTGCAGATCAGCTGCTTCGTCAGCTTACTCGGGCTGGACGCCAAGAGACAGGAGGTGCGTCAAGGGAATGCTTTATTATTAAGACCCTCCAAAACTTTACTGCCTGCTCTTCCAAATGTTCAATAGTTGACTTATGACACTGATTTAAACATTGCCTGTTTTCTATACATTGCAATTATAGTAAATGATTGGCCCTCAGGACAGAACGTGTGACCGGGGAGAAGTGGGAGAGGCATAGGGTCAGTGTGTGTGTGTGTGTGTGTGTTTATGCTTCGTCCATCCTCTTTTCAAACAGTTTTCAATACAGTTTAAATTTTTTGTAGCTTGTTTATTGCTTTTTTGTGTTAAAATAATGACTATTATTTAATCTCATTCCAATAGAATCTTAAAGTATACTCTTTTCTTGAACAGCAGAGACACAATGAGGCAGCTGTAAAGAGACAAACTTACATTGTGTCCTGTGGCAAGACGCTTCACCCACAGAATGAGTGTCCGGTGTGTGCGTGAATGATTGGCGGTTGTCAGTTAGGCCGATGTCACCTACTGGTTGACTCGTATCTGTCAGTCTGCCCCATGGCATCTGCAGCAGCGGTAGTTTATCACCACTGTATGAATAAGTGGTGGATGAATAATGTCATGTGAAGCAAATTTGTGGGTCCAAAAAAGAGCTAGATAAAACTTTTCTTGTAAATGGGCCTTAAAACATCATAACAACACCCAAAATAAATAATCTATAGGGCCAAATCTAAATCGAATAGGGTGTAATGGCGCGTTTTTGGTCTTGTGTCTAAAGGGGAATCGCCTGGACATCCTGTGCTGTGTGAAACTTCCAGAGGGTCAGGAATCCAAATCAGACGGATTCCTCTTCAGATTTTTCAAGAAATTCTACGCTCCTTTCGTGCTGCAGGAGTGGGTCCGCCCTGTGGTTGTAAGTACAGCTTTGTAACGCTTGTGTCTCGTACATTTTGGGCTCATAATTCATCTCCCCCCCTTCTCCCTGACTATAGGTGGCAGTGTTTGTGGGTATGCTCTCCTTCAGCATCGCCGTGGTGAACAAAGTGGACGTGGGACTGGACCAGAAGCTCTCGATGCCAGATGTAAATTCAGCCGCATGTTTTTTATTGGACCCTCTTAGTGGTCATTTGTATGTTTTCGCAGTAGCATAACCATACAGTAGAGCAGCTTTTCTGCAGACTAATGTAAATCAAGATGGATTTCACCAGCAGCAGCCAATCAGCTCAGTCCAAAGTGTAAAGAAGTTTAGAATACAATAGAACTTGTAAAACAATCCAATAAAACACATCATAAAGTCGGGTGTTGACATAAAACCATGCTTCTTAGTTCCATTCACAGTGGTCCCTCGTTATAACGTAGTTCCCCTTTCGCAGCTTCATGCTTCTTATGCACGGCGTATATGACTCCTACAATATCATACATAACATCAAATCATTGCTAGACATGCTTAACCTTTATGTTGAATCTGGAGAACACTTTTGTGGCTTGTTTGCGCCGTGGTAGTTAGTTCAGAGGACTAGCTCTCAGTCCTGCTCCTGCCCCTCAGCGCTGTGTCCTCTGCAGCTGTATAATGCAGTGTATGCACGGCTTTTGACAGCTGCAGCAGCCCTCAGACCTACAACAAACAGGTTTGATTTTGCACCTCAACAAGTCGTGAGTTCAGGTGGTTAGAAAAGTGTGTAGTGTGTATAAATGCTGTTATTAGGCCCGAGCCCCGAACGGGGTAAGGGCCTATTGCTTTCACAATGGTGAAAACAAATGGTGGCGGTGCGTGACGGACGCGTCAGCGCCCGTCACTCACCAAAACGTGACGGTTGCGTGTGTAAACTCAAAAGCTTTAAAATGATGTATCAGGTGCCATTGAAACCTATATTGTTTTTGCTCGAGACGTTAAAAAAAAAATTCCTTTTTTATTTATTTCTTTCTTTCTTTTTTCTTCTGCACTTTGAGCCTTAATTTGACCCCCTGAACATGCATGAAAAGTTGTTAATTTTGGCCCAAAAATCAGACCTGGCGAAAAATTTGATATTTTGGTGTTTATTTTTATGGGACTCAAAGAATGACAGAACAGCGCCACCTACAACAGCCAAAATAATACCCCTATGGGACTTTTCGGAGGTCAAGTTTGTCGTAGAAACATGAAATTTGGTACACATGTTTCTCAAGTCAAGACAAGAAAAAAATATTATTATGGCCCCGCCCCCTGACAAACAGGAAGCCCATAAATTTCACTGCAAAATGGAAAAATGAACTGCAAAAGTTTTCATACATGTCGGTTGGAAAGCGACTCCTCCTCGGCCGTTTCACCGATTCGCCTCAAAATCGCTCCACATCATCTCAACACATGTACCTTCAAAATGACCTCAGGGATTTTTGATCAGTGAAACATTGTTCGAGCAGCGGAGCGGCAAAATGTGACCTTTTTTTGGCCGTTTTTGACAACATTAAATTTGCTCCCGTTTGCACAAACAAAGTCTGATTTGCACAAAACTTTAATACATTGTTCAACTCTAGGGTCTAGGTCATTTGAAAGTGAAGTGATTCAAATTGACACATTAGCGCCCCCTACAGACTATTTCAAAATTTTAGATGGGCATTTTCAAATTTAGTTTTTTCAAAATGTTTGAAATTTTGTGCATAAATCTGTTTTGCCCTCTTGATTCAAAAAGTCAATAGGGTCCAAGGCTTATTTCTTACCCTGTTGCCGTGGCGACGACAAACGCTCCCCATTCATTGCAAATGTACACCTCACACAAACATCAAACCAGCCTTGGCCGTTTCACAGATTCGCGTCAAAATCGCTCCACATCATCTCAACACATGTACCATCAAAATGACTTCAGGGAATTTTGATCAGTGAAACGCTGTTTGAGCAGCAGAGCGCCAAAAACTGGCGTATTTTTTTTTTCAGTTTTTGACAATAGAAAAATTGCTTCCGTTTGCACAAACAAAGTCTGATTTGCACAAAACTTGAATCCATGGTTCAACTCTTGGGTCTAGATCATTTGAAAGTTAGAATTTTGAAATTGGCTCTATAGTGCCACCTACAACAGCCAATTTAAAAATGCCTATGGGAGGGGTTCGAGGTCAAAATTTTCGTAGAACCATTTAATTTGGTACACATGTTCCTCAAGTCAAGACATGGAAAAAATGTAATTATGGCTAATCCCTCCGACAAACAGGAAGCCCATAAATTTCACTGCAAAATGGAAAAATGAAAACCAATCATTCTCATACACGTCGGTTGGAAAGCGACTCCTCCTCGGCCGTTTCACTGATTGGCCTCAAAATTGTTACAAATCATCTCAACACATTTACCTTCAAAATGACTTCAGGGATTTTTGATCAGTGAAACGTTGTTTGAGCAGCGGAGCGGCAAAATGTGAGGGTTTTTTTGGCCGTTTTTGACAACATACATTTTTTCCCCGTTTGCACAAACAAAGACTGATTTGCATTAAACTTGAATCCATTGTTCAACTCCAGGGTTTAGGTCAGGTGAAAGTGAAATATTTTAAATTGGCCCATTAGCGCCCCTAAAGACTGAGTCAAAGTTTACATGGGGAGCCAAACCAGCTCTACTTATCATATTCATTACAATTTGACTAACAATCTTCTATGGCTACGGGAACAAATCATCACACAACGGCGCCACCTCCTTTGAGCGGTGCTGCGTGGTACGGTGTGGTACGGCGTAGTGCGGGGCGTTGTGGAGCGCCGCATTGCGGCTTGGTGCGGGGCGGCGTGAGGCGGGACAGCATGGTGCAGGGCGGCGTGGTGCGGGGTGGCTTGGTGCGGGGCGGCGTGGAACGGGGTGGTGCGCGCGGTGCGGGGAGTCGCGCGGTGCGGGGAGTTGCGCGGTGCGGCGAGGGCCGTTCGACGCCGCTTGCGGCTTTAATTTTTTTGTTATTTTTAGAAAGTAACCCCCGCGATATACAGGGTACCACTGTACTGTACAAATTTAGTTTAAAGTTTCTCAGCAGATTGAATTTCAGCAATCTGGCTTCCTACAGATGTCTTTTTCTTGTATTTATTTCTGTCATTAATATTAGCCGTGCTCGAGCATTCATCAAGTTTCAGAGCTCCATCGTTTGTCTCTTTCACCTGAAAAAACATCTCTGGCACCACAAGGGTTGAGATACTTTTCTGTCCAAAGAGTTAAGTGTTAATCACATTCACTTTCCCTCCTCATTGTAGGATTCCTTTGTGTTGGATTACTTCAGAAACCTGTCCACGTACCTCCACACTGGGGCCCCGGTTTACTTTGTGGTTGAAGATGGACTGGACTACAGGAGCCTGGAGGGACAAAACTCTGTGTGTGGAGGAGTGGGCTGCAATAACAACTCGCTGGTGGAACAGGTCTACACCGCTTCTCTGATCAGCAACTAGTAAGTCTGGTTATTGATTACAAATTAGGGTCAGTCTTAGCAGCCACCACCAGCATTGTCCTCCCTGTCATTTACACACTTTGCTCATTTCTCACCAAATACACACAAAGAGCATGCACACACACAGCTGCACCTTCTGTTTCTTTGTTGCTTATTTTATTTTATTAGCTTGTCATCAGTTTGTCTCTTTTTTTATTGTTGAATAAAATGTATAATAAAAATCAAAAAGAAAAATTAAAGAATTTCAAGTCTTGTTATGAAATGGTTTTGACTAAAAATACTTCTGATTTCAGCACAACGATTGCGTACACGCCGTCCTCTTGGCTCGATGATTATTTCGACTGGGTGAAGCCGCAGTCGTCCTGCTGCCGGTTCTATAACAGCACTGGAGACTTCTGCAACGCTTCAGGTAATGAAGTCGGAGATTCTTATAGTTTTCATACGTTTTTGTAGTCATTGAGTTAAAAAGCTGCTTCCAAATGTTAGACTTTTTGTTTTGTTTTTTCTATTCATCCAGTGAATAGAAGTTCAAATATGGTCATATAAACAAAATCCTGCTATTTAAAATCCCTTCTACCAAGCCTAATCTGTTACCCTTTTTTTCTTAATTCCAAACCATACTATTCCATACCAAATGTAATAATTTATTTTCCATTTTGTGCTCCATGTATTTATGCATCTCCTTAAACCTTACTTTGTCTCCATGGAAACGTTGTTCTTTGGCTATAATCCACCACATAGGATTTAAAACATATGCAATTCCTTGGAAATGTCCCCAAGTGTTGTTTTAGCATTCTCTTTCTTTGGTCTAATGTGATAAATATATGTGGTTGGGTGCATATGTGTTAATGTACATACAAAACAAAACAAAGCAACAGACGAATTTAATAATAATATTAATCCTTTATAGAATAGAACTAGTAGAGCATAATAAATAACAGGTTAAACCATAGCAAAAAAAACTTTAAAAGCCATTAACATGTGTTGCGCTGCGTGTGCATGATAATTATTGGTGGTGGCACATACTGGTTGCCTCACTTCTGTCAATTTGCCCCTGGGCAGCTGTGGCATAACATACTAGCTATGAAAATTCTCAGCACTGTGAATGAATAATGCCATGTGAGGAGTCTGAGTGTCCTGAAAAGCTGATGCATTAATATTATTAAGAAAATCCTTATTCCTCAAACATTAATGTTGTAATGTTTCAGTGGTGGATCCGTCGTGTGTCCACTGTCGACCCCTGACTCCTGAAGGAAAAAAGCGACCGACCGCAGAGGACTTTATGCGCTTTCTACCAATGTTTTTATCAGACAACCCTAACATCAAATGTGGAAAAGGGTAACTCATCTATTCTTTAGTTTTACCACCATATGTTTAGCTGTCAAAGGATTTGTGGTAATAGTTGTTTTGTTATTCTTTCAGAGGCCACGCAGCCTATTCTTCAGCCGTCGACCTGCTTAACAACAATACAGACGTGGGAGCAACATACTTCATGACATATCACACCATCATGAAGGATTCTCCCGACTTCATCACTGGTTTGAAAATGGCCCGTGAGCTCGCCAAGAACATCAGCAGTGCCATGAACCACAATGTGTTTGCATACAGGTACATACAGTCTCGTGTTCACTCTTTAGTCTCATGAAATTAGTCACTCGTTATGCAAATGTGAGCATTTGGTTCCCTCACCAAATACCTGTTATCCAGCTCACTGGAATTATGCTATACTTTGTCATGGAATATCTTAGGCTTTCTCTGTCTGTATGTGAGGCCATGCTCCCTCATACAGAACTGTCCCACAAAAGAACAGGGCCCTGGATATAATCGGTGAACTGATATCGGATCACTCTGTAATCACAGTCTCAGAGCAGAATACTTCTTCAGCTCTTCTCTCCCCCATGTTTCCCCCAACAGCCCTCGAGTCAGACTGTAGACAAACCTTCTCTTTGCCTTTTGCTGCAGACTTTAAGGGTGTATTCAGACCTGAAAAGTCTTTGCTCCCGCTTGCTTGATCCGAATCAAAAGCGGACCAAACTTTTTTCTTTTGCTCCGGTTCGTATTCAGACTGTCCTTTTTGCAAGTGAACTTTTTTATATAAACATATTGACACGTGTGACGATCGGCTCCTATTGGACAGCCAGAGCTCACGGAGGATAGACGCGGAACCGGAGGAAAACATTGAGGGCTGTATGTGCAGCATGTCTGCTCTGCTGTGTTTGCTCTTTTAGAGCAAACCACCTTCAACATCAACAGCAGCGTCATATGACACAGGCCAAACACGTTGTTTTAAATATTGGAACAGCGTCGGAGAATGCGTGAGGAGAAAGCCGAAGGAGAGATCTGTCTGTGCCCTGTCCCACACATGGATCTATGATAATAACCCTGTTCCACAACTTACTGACAGCAGCATGTGGATAAACCATGGATCTATAATAACCACGGGACCCAAACAGACGCTGAGGATCAGGTAGGAACCAAAGAACACAATTCACTACATGATGCGGAATATTGCTCTTTGAGACGTGAGTCACAACAGTGTCAGGCTTTTAATAATGCAAATGGTTTGAAGATGTGCCATTAACATCACTGTATACTGTGAACGTTTTAACTCCATAAGCCTGTTGCACAGCGTCTCTCACTGCTGTCCAGGTCTGCCCACGGTCAGTGTTGTGTGTGTAGCGTTAGCAGCATAGTTAGCAGCATAGTTAGCGTGCGTGGCTAATTCCTCAGTTTCTGTGTGCGGTGCTTGTTAAGCCCAAAAAATGCGCACGTATCTTGGAGTTGTGTCGGATTGACACCGGATGTATTCAGACCTGATTCGGTTTGGACCAGAATTCGTTTGGAAGCGGACCGAGAGCACCCTAAAAAAGTGGGTCTCGGTTCGGTTCTTTGGTCGGACTGGATTCGTTTGTGTGTATTCAGACCTGCATAAAAGCTTCGGATCAGAGTTCCAAGAATCCTGGTCGTTTAAAGTGGAGCAAATGTGCAGGTCTGAATACACCCTAAGTAACTTTACTCCAGTGTCCAGAGCACAGAGACATGAGTAAGGTGTGCATGCAATTTATAGTGAGCCTCTTGGCAGAGGTCTGCGGTCTACGAGTGCTTTTCTCGTTCTGTGTGTGATGTGTTTGTGCTTATACTTGTGCTTTCTCCACAGTGTCTTCTACGTGTTCTACGAGCAGTACTTGACGATCATCTACGACACTGCTCTAAACCTGTGTGTGTCTCTGGCGGCCATCTTTGTCGTTACCACGGTGCTGCTGGGGTTCGAGCTGTGGGCGGCCGTGCTGGTCAGCTGCACCATCGCCATGATTCTGGTCAACATGATTGGAGTCATGTGGCTCTGGAGCATCAGCCTCAACGCCGTCTCTTTGGTCAACTTAGTCATGGTGAGAACAACAAAACTAAACAAAAACAAAACATCTTAAACTATTTGTTTTTAGCTATTTTTTTCCAAATCCAACCATCCCACATGTATTTCTCTGGAACCATCCATAAAATGAGATATGTAATGCTAAATATAGAATAAATATGCCAGAATTATTGCAAAAATGGTAGTTTTCATCTAATGTTGTTGTGCTGGTTGCTAACGTGTGGTTGTGCTGGTTGCTAACGTGTGGTTGTGCTGCTGTGGTGCAGAGCTGTGGGATCTCGGTGGAGTTCTGTAGTCACATCGTGAGAGCGTTCAGCGTCAGTGTGAAGAGCAGCAGAGTGGAGCGAGCCGAAGAGGCGCTGGCGCACATGGGCAGCTCCGTAAGTCTCACTACAACAACATCACAATACACACAAGTTTTTAGGAGACTATTTATAAACTTTTACCTAGCTTCATTGATAATGGCTAGGCCTGTCATGATAACAAATTTTGCTGGACGATAAATTGTCTCAGAAATTATTGCAATAAGCGATAATATTGTCGTTCTGAGATCATTTTAATCTAATACAATGATAATGATGCAGGTACACCTTTTCAAAGGACCGGAGAGAGAGAGAGAGAGAGAGAGAGAGAGACGAGGAAAACAAACAATCATGCACATGGCATTATCATCGCGGCCAGACAAAATTATCGAGCTACTTTTAATTAATCATGCCATTAATTCATTTTATTGACACATCGCGACCGGCCTAATGATGGCAAATTCCCAACTATGATCATCAAACCAGAAACTTTTTTTAATATTAGAAATAACATTGACTGATCGCCACAAAGACATGTATTAATTCGGGAGGAAATGTTCCTTCAAATACACTGTCGCCAAAAAATCTTTCCAAGAACCAAGCATGACCAAACTAAGTTTGCAGTGTCATCCAGCCAACTTCAGCTGAGCCAATAATGTAGGCATGTTGTTCCTCAGATAATCTAGAAATCAGGCATTTGTACATACTGACATTTCTTTATGATTGTGTCCCAAAATTCCGTACATGGCGCTAATATTGCTTGTGAGATAGTAGACATGTCATTCAGCCAACTCCAGCTCAGTCATTGATAGTTCTAAAACTCCGTCGCGCGTTTTACACTCCGGTCGGTGTCGGGACAGTTGGTTCATTAAAAATGTTGGACACCCCTGACATTTTATGATATTGTTTGACTTTAAATAGCTTAAAGTAGTGGAAAAAGGTGTCGACATCGCTGCTTGAGCGGGTTGTTGTCGCTTTGATGTTGATTTGTGTTGTCATTGAGGTGTTCAGTGGAATCCGTTGCCGAAGTTTGGAGGTCTCCTGCTCCTGGCTTTGTCACGTCTCAGATCTTCGGTTTTTTTTCAGGATGTATTGGCATGGTCCGGTCGGAGCGCACGGACTCCTCTTCTCCTGGTCTCTCAGTTATATAGGTCCGTAGTATGGCTAGATAGATATAGATGCGATTGCTAGATAGATAGATAGAACTTGTAGATACTAGCATCGTGATATTGATCCATACTTGCTACTAGCTAAATACTAGCTCGTAGCTACTTCGGTCTTTAGCGCAGCAGCTTCAATATACAAACAAGTTACGGAGAAGTTCTTTTTTTTATGGAACAGCCTATAGTTTATTGGTACTCACACAGTCCGCTCTGTTCTTATGGTAATGCATTAGATAGTAGAGTTCGTGTGTTTGTGTCCCGAGTCTTGGCAACAGGGCAAAAAGATGTTGACAAAACTCATCTTAGTCAGCCCGAGCCCTCCTTGACTCTACACGGAGGATACACTGGAGGATACCAGAATGACTCAATCATCGCCATGGTAGTTCTGACGATGGTTGTTAATAAGTATTAGGGCAGAGAACTTTTTTCACAAGACAAGTAACTGACAGGTTTTAAAAGATCATTGGCAGCCTCAAAAGCTCATGAAACACTTTCAAACTTCCAAAGGATAAGGAAGTCCAAGAGGACTCTCTATATATCCATTTTTTCTCCCAAGAAGGCCGCCTAGTTGACGTACCTCATGCTAAGTCCTCTATGGCCCTGTCCACACCAAGTCAAGCTCAGGCCTAAACGCAAAATACTTTATCAAACCAGTGTATCGTCCCAACGAGCCGGCGTTTTTGGGGGGTGTAAACGAACATTTTGAAACTAGGTCCCCAGAGAGGAAAAAGATTTCAAAACCTCCGTATATGCCGCACCGTGGTTACTACTTGCCCTCGCCGCAATGTCTCTGAGACGCTTTGCGTCAACGCCCCCCCTCTTGTTAAACACGCATCGCCGCACTCAGAAAATAATGACACAACAATGGATCTTGTTGTTTTTTGGTAATCCATTGCGACCCGTATGCAACAGTCAACTACCTCATCGTCCCTTGTCCCATACAAATGTAGTACCCAGCTCGCCCCACCTCAAATATCGCCACATGTGTCTGTTTTTATCAAAATTCCGCGCATGCCCACCGGAAGTTTGGGATTGATCCCCGTCATTGGCGTCTCACCCGCAAATACAGCGCCGACCAACAGTCTGGCATAGTTTCAATCGTATTTCAGGCGTATTGACTACATTCATAATGGACGCACACGATTTTCTGAGCTAACACCGGTTTTACAGAAAAAGTTTCTGAAATATAAGCGTTTGTCTTCTGTGGATATAGCCCCAAATCTGACTTCAAAGGTTCTGCCAAAGAAAACAGGGGCTCTTCTTTCAAAAATATTATGGGGTTAACCACTGCAACTCCATCCATAAAATCTAGCTATTTTTTCTTTTTTGTGTGGAAAAAAAACGCCTTCTGGCCATATAGACAATCCTGCACCGGTCTGCGACACCCCTCATTCACTAAACTCAATTATATAGCTATATTTTTAATACAACACACAAATTCCTCATCAGCCAAAACATACTGCCTCCTTAGTCTGACCTTTCAGGTTTCATCCCCTGATCTTACCGGCCTATTCTTTACACAAAAAAGGCCTGTAGGCAAGTTTCCTCCTATTTCTTTCATCTTACCCTAAAGGGAAGAGGGCAATGATACAAGGGCAATTAATAATGGAAACAATACACAACGCATAGCACACCCGCACGCACCACTTTATCATATAAATGAGCTTTTATATACGTAATCCTGGTCAGATCGGGCTGCCAATTCGTCGCCGTGACGCTTGTGGGACTGGCGCCCAGGAGGCGGTCGCAAGAGGGGCGAGGCCTTTCATCGCCGCTTGCGGCTTTAATTGTCTTTGTTGTTGGGACATTCCTGGTTGGATAAAGGATAAAGCTCAAAACATGTTCATTTTATTTCTTATGCGCAATATTTATCACTCATTGCTGTCTGTGTTCGAACAGCTAATGGAATAGAATAGACTTCATCGTGTGTTGTAATGACAAAAATTATCTTTGTCCTGCTATTGCACACACATAAAGCAGATCATATACATTTGAATATATTTATATACATGTTCTATTTAGTGCTCTGTGCTTCATATTGCTATAATACAAATGTGTAACTATATTCTCCCTCTATAACATGTTGTGAAAATGTTACCAAAATGTCACATGCCCAGACCCCCACGACACATACCGAGTCATTGATGTTTTCATGTGAAAGGGAAATTGCCGCAAACTCTGTTCTCATTCATTCATTTGGTCTGTTTTTGTTCTGGGTCGACATAGTTGACATTCTCAGTCAAGGCCGGTGTGTTGTGCTTTCTCCTCTTCCTCCTGTTTGAAACCACGCTGCTCCAAAACAAAAGCCATTGTCGTTCCACAGCATCAGGGACTAGTAAATTCTTCACATATCAGGGACAGACATGGACCAAACACAATCTACATGCAGTGTTTTTAATAAAGGAAATGGTTCGTAATTCCCGGGAAAAGTCGCAATTTATTAACGTCACAATAAAACCTACTAAGACCAAAGATATGTTGAATATACTGTCATTTCTTTACTCAACAATAGCGAATCAGAATACAACAAATATTAAGACATCTACTACTTTCACACCACACAAAGTTAGCTAGTGCCTCGCTCTCAAAATAGCTTTCACTGATTTAACAAGCATATCACATTTTTTGACACATCTAAAAAATCAGCTTTTATATTATCAAACAGAAAAGTGAAAACGAGCGGATCACCTTCACACCCTCGTCTCAAGAGTCAAATAGTGACTCACACGGCTCTTTCTCACAAGTATGCAAAAAACAACATGTTTATAATGAGGCAAAGACTGCACGTCGTGGTCTGACTCTGTGTAAAATAAAAAAAGTAATATTTATTTTAAAAAACATTATTGTAGACCATTGCTTTAACTTGCTTTGCTCTGGTCACGTTACATAAGTCCCAGCTGAATGTTGACAGTGGGTTTGTCGAAGGCTCTGCTGGTTGAACTGGGAAACGCCCTGGAGGTGCTGTGAACCTGTCTGAACAATGCCCTGGTGGAAAATTCTCTCCTATTGCTTCCACGTCAGACCGCACAGCCACACCAGCGTTCAGAAGGAGTCTTACCGTAGTTTTTGCACTATAAGGCGCACACAAAAAGAATGAATGAATGAAGCCTCGATTAGTCCCTTTAATTATCATAGCCCTTTGTATCCTTTTCTGGCTGCGTTTACAGACCTAGCTAAATTCTCGTATCTGACTAACTTTTGTTTACAACTGAGAAATGTAGAGTTATTAGAGTTATAGAGAGAGATTTTACAGTATACTCAATCATTCAGTTGATTTAAAATGTTATAATGTTGTAATGTATTATGACCACTGACTGTGTGTGGGTACAGCTGATGGATGTTACAACTGAAAAATGGTGACAATTATTGCACTTATTGAGTTTATACCTGTGAGTAGTGTTTGATTTACCTGATTGTCTGCTTGTTTTGTTTCACTTCAAAATTGAGGGCAAGAATTACAGGGAAAATGACAGTCGTACTGCATTGTGTCTTTGTTTGCAGGTAACCCAGTAATAATCATGTGCGCCTTATTTATAAAAAATACATTCATTGCTATAGCCGTCCTTATTATCAGGTGTGCCTAATAATGCGAAAAATATGCGTTTTTTTCTTGTTAAGTAAAATCACCAAAGAGCAACATCTTTCAGCTATGTATAAAAGACTTGTATTGGATCTGTGGTCAGATGCATGCTGACATAAGTTATGATACAGGTTTTTTCTTTGTCTCAGACCACAGTGATTGAATACGTGAAGCCCTCAGACCTGAAGAAGGACATGAACGAGACTTTCAAGGAGAAATTCCCTCACATCAGACTGACGCTCAGCAAAATCAGGAGGTGACAAAAATACATGATTATATCTATAAACTCCACATACATCCAGTCTATTAGGACTACTTTATTCTGAAATGATGAGGGGATCATAACAGGCGGCAGGAAAAAAATATATTGTTTTTGTACATTTGGGTTTAATGCACGCAAAGCATTTGAAATGATGATGGGGCACATAAGCATTCCGATATTATTATTTTATATATTTTTTTCATTATTAAGATTATTATTGTCATTATTATTATTGTTATTATTATACAATACAATACAATTTATTCTTGTATAGCCCTAAATCACAACAGCAGTCATCTCAGAAGACTTAACAAAACCATTGAAATCACCAACACAGATCAGAGAATCAAAACAGTTAAAACACAAACAATATAAACATATGTATTGGTCCATAGGGAGAGACCAATGTCCATGAATGTTGATAAATGTCCATACATGTTGTAGAATGTTAACGTGTCCTGGATCATCATCATTATGATTATTATTGACATTATTATGATTATTGTTATTATTACTATTATTATTTTCATTAATATTGTTATTATTTATTATTAATATTGTTATTATTTATTATTAATATTGACATTATTATTATTGAATATGATTTTAATTTGTATTTTAATATCATCTTTACACCTTTCCCAGGGACTACAGTTGTCCCAGTTAAAATAATCAAATTATACAAAATATTATTTTGCATCTAGTCCTGTATCAAGCACCATCTCTATGTTAATAATCTTTCTTTTACAATATGGTGATAAAAACTGTGATATTTGACAGTTTGTAATTTGTCCTCTGCTATAATATTATGACTTTCTCACATATTGATATTTTTGGTCTATATTACGAATCTAAACAGCTTGTATGAATGTGACAGATTCTCTCCTTCTGCTTTGCTGACAGTAACAAAAACCCTGCGCAGATGTGGGTCATTCGCACATATCTGTTACATGTTTACACTGTCGCCCTCGTCTGCTTCTCCCCCAGTTTGAAGCGGGAGATCAAAAAGCTGGCCCAGGACGAGTGCGGCTACGAGGAGATGACTGTTGCCATGGCCTTCGTGTACTTTGAGAAACTGGTTCTTCAGGGCAAACTGCACAAGCAGAACCGTAAACTGTGCGCCGGCGCGTGTGTGCTGCTGGCCGCCAAGATCGGAGGAGATCTGAAAAAATATGAGGTCAAGAACCTGATCGACGTAAGTTCAGAGGCAAACAAAGAAAAGTCTGTAATGCTCCTGGAAAGATGTGTTTGTGTGTGGTTTCGCTCACCGTCCTGGACCTCACTACACAAGCCACAAGCAAAGATAATGTTATGATGTGATGGAGAGCACACAAACAAATATGTCATTGTCTCATGTTATCTGCTCCGAAGAGATTCAAAGTTTGTTTCTGTGTATTTCATCATCACAGCAAAGATGAGCTGCTAAAGGTGATTGTCTGTGTGTCTATTAAATGTGTAACTTTGATGCTTTGGTCAGAATTACCGTCAAAAAGAGGTTTTTAATCTCAGTGGGATTTTCCTGGTTAAGTTTAAATAGAAATATTAAACTAGTCTGTATTATGGAACTAAGAAACTAGACTGGAGTAAGTGTACATCTTAAAAACAGTTTAAAATAAAAATCTTAAATATGTTTTTTGACAAGTAATTAAAGAAGCACTTATATTTTTCATCCTTGACACCATGATAATTACACTTAATAAAAGAACAACAAAAAAATTCCGATTAATTATCAATTATATTAACACCCATCCATCCATTTTCTACCCTTTAATCCATTTCTGGGTCAGGGGGGTGGCAGTCAGAGATGCCACCCAAGTCTCATAGCACCAGCCCCTCACTGACCCTCTGCAGGTGGTGGGTCCACAGGAGGACGGCTGCTCTCTGAGTGTGAGCATAGCCTTGATCTTTCAGTGGGGGCTTTGGGCAAAGTGGGGTTAAGTGTCCTGCCCAAGGACACAACGACAACAGTCATCAGCGGGAGTCAGTGGAGAAGGTACAGAGGTGGGAATTGAACCCACGACTACTGTCGCCCCTATCAACACCATATTTATTAAATTAATATAATCCAAAATTAGAAACTGAAAACATTCATCTTTTACTTAAAACAATGTAAGTGCAAGCTCCAATATAAAACATGTTTAGCTCACTTGCATGTGGAAACAATATTGGCACTCTGATACAGTGTAAAGTGCTTTTGGTGACCTTGGTCTGTGAAAAGTCCATATAAGTATTGATTAAATATCTTCATCCACTCATGGCAGAGAACCTATGGAGGGGCTATGGCAGAAGTGAGAAAACCACTGTCATTCAATAAACACAGGACATACGAAGATTTCAAGCAGCACTTTAAAATGACTGATTGGATTTAAAGACATTTGAATAGTTCATTTGCAAAAGCAGACAAGCGTTTACAAGTTAGAAAACATGTTGAAGATTTTAATTCGAGGAATACAACTTTTTTTGACACATTTGCAGAACGGAGATGTCTGTTTTTGCATTTGTATTTGTTTTAGGTATTTGTCATTGTTCAATTCAATGAAATTAAACGCATTTTTGTTTAGCCCTAACTCATTTATCATCTACAATTATAGACACATACTTATGCAAATAGTCTTAGTGATCAGAAATATTGTGTTAGTACCACTTAGACTGCACTTGGCATATTCATGTTTACTCATCTGTGTCATCTGCATCGGCTTTGATATTTGTAGACACACGCACACTCACACACACACACACACGCACACACACACACACACACACTCACACTCAGCCGGCTGGTGAGGCCTTGCAGCTACAACAACACACTCATCTCTCCTCTCACTCACTCATTTTCTCCCTTCTTCCCAGAAACTCGAAGAGCGTTTCCGGGTAAACCGCAGGGAGTTGATCGCCTTCGAGTTCCCCGTCCTGGTGGCTTTGGAGTTCAACTTGCACCTGCCCGAACACGAGATCATGCCCCACTACAGACGCCTGCTGCAGACGTCCTAACCCTAGTGTCCCATCAGGAGGAGGGCCATCAGGCTCCATCTCCTGATCCACCATCCACAACCTGCCTGATCTGACTCCAACCAGCCGAGGTCACACCAGTGCTTTGCAAATCTACAACTGGAAGGAAAATACTGCATCATCTCTATGGACTAAAAATAACTTTATATCGTTAACTTGTTCTGTCAGGTTTGATCGCAGATATTTTAAAAAGGACATGTGCAAAATCAGCTTTAAATCATGCTTAGTGATTGGAAATTGTGGTATTTTCAAATTTTGACGCTATTTCTTTTGTTTGAATTTGTGATTAAGAGTCAGAACAGGGTTAGGAACAGTTCATTTAGTTAAAGTTAGGGCTAGATTGAAAGAGTTTCAAAGAGTCAAAGTAATGTATTGCTATGAACATCGGGAAACACACCAATTTCTATGCACTTTAAATCCATAAATTCAAAATAATGATCGCTGAGACCCCTGTCAGACGGACTTTCAACTCACACCTCCGGGAGAGCTTCTCCCAGGTCCCGGCGGAGGAGGGGGATATTGAGTCTGAGTGGACCATGTTCTCTTCCTCTATCGCCGATGCGGCGGCTCGTAGCTGTGGTCGCAAGGTCTCTGGTGCTGGTCCCGGCGGCAACCCCCGAACCCGGTGGTGGACACCGGCAGTAAGGGATGCCGTCAGGCTGAAGAAGGAGTCCTATCGAGCCAAGATGGTTCGGGGGACTCCTGAGGCAGCTGTCCAGTACCGGCAGGCCAAGCGTGCCGCGGCCCGGGCTGTTGCAGAGGCAAAAACCCGGGACTGGGAGGAATTCGGAGAGTCCATGGAGCATGACTATCGGTCGGCCTCGAAGAGATTCTGGCAAACTGTCCGGCGCCTCAGGAGGGGGAAGCAGTTCTTTGCCAACACCGTGTACGGTGCGGGGGGTGAGCTGCTGACCTCGACCGGGGATATTGTCGGACGGTGGAAGGAATACTTTGAGGTTCTCCTCAATCCCCCCGTCACGTCCTCCGCTCCGGAGGCAGAGGCTGAGGATGTTGGGGCGGATACTTCTGTCACCCTGGCAGAGGTCACCAAGGTGGTTGTCCTTGGTGGCAAGGCGCCGGGAGTGGATGAGATCCGTCCTGACTATCTAAAGTCTCTGGATGTTGTCTTGGCTGACACGTCTCTGCAGCATCGCGTGGCGATCGGGGGCGGTGCCAATGGAGTGGCAGACCGGGGTGGTGGTCCCTCTCTACAAGAAGGGGGACCGGAGGGTGTGTTCCAATTATCGTGGGATCACACTCCTCAGCCTCCCTGGTAAGGTTTACTCCAAGGTACTGGAGAGGAGGTTACGGCCGATGGTCGAATCTCGGATTCAGGAGGAGCAGTGTGGTTTTCGTCCCGGCCGTGGAACACTGGACCAGCTCTACACTCTCCATCGGATACTCGAGGGTTCATGGGAGTTCGCCCAACCTGTCCACATGTGCTTTGTGGATTTGGAGAAGGCGTTCGACCGTATTCCCCGGGGTGTCCTTTGGGGGGTCCTCCGTGAGTACGGGGTCCGGGGTCCTCTGCTGAGGGCCGTCCGGTCCCTGTATGACCGGAGCCAGAGCTGCGTGCGCATTGCCGGCAGTAAGTCAGACCTGTTCCCGGTGCATGTTGGCCTCCGCCAAGGCTGCCCTTTGTCACCGGTTCTGTTCACTGTATTCATGGGCAGAATTTCTAGGCGCAGCCAAGGGTCGGAGGGGGTCCGGTTCGGGGACCACAGGATTTCATCTCTGCTGTTTGCAGACAATGTTGTCCTGTTGGCTCCAACAAACCAGGACCTACAACATGCACTGGGACGGTTTGCAGCCGAGTGTGAAGCGGCTGGGATGAGAATCAGAACCTCCAAATCTGAGGCCATGGTGCTCGACCGGAAAAAGGTGCCTTGCCCTCTCCGGGTGGGTGGAGAGGCCCTTCCTCAAGTGGAGGAGTTCAAGTATATCGGGGTCTTGTTCACGAGTGAGGGAAGGATGGAGCGTGAGATTGACAGGCGGATCGGTGCAGCGTGCGCAGTGATGCGGTCGCTGTATCGGACCGTTGTGGTAAAGAGGGAGCTGAGCCGAAAGGCAAAGCTCTCAATTTACCGGTCAATCTTCGTTCCCTCTTTCACCTATGGTCATGAGCTTTGGGTAATGACCGAAAGAACAAGATCGCGGATACAAGCGGTCGAAATGAGCTTCCTCCGCAGAGTGGCTGGGCGCTCCCTTAGAGATAGGGTGAGGAGCTCAGTCACACGGGAGGAGCTCGGAGTAGAACCGCTGCTACTCCACGTCGAGAGGAACCAGTTGAGGTGGCTCGGGCATCTGTTCCGGATGCCTCCTGGACGCCTCCCTGGGGAGGTGTTCCGGGCATGTCCCACCGGGAGGAGGCCCCGGGGAAGACCTAGGACACGCTGGAGGGACTATGTCTCTCAGCTGGCCTGGGAACGCCTTGGAGTCCCCCCGGACGAGCTGGAGGAGGTGTGTGTGGATAGGGAAGTCTGGGCGTCTCTGCTTAGACTGCTGCCCCCGCGACCCGGCAACGGATGAAGCGGAAGAAAATGGATGGATGGATGGATGGATGAAGTGTGAGGACCAAGTACGCATAACAACACATGGACTAAATACAATCAGTGGTTATTTAAAAAGTCTAACGTTGGTATTAATTAGCTGCATCCGATCTGTTTTGACAATACGACCATTAGATACTCGATTCTCAATAATATTTTGTATGATACAGTTAGGGGTCGCCTCCATTGTGAAGGCATTTTGGCCCGAATCTACGAACTAGGACGTAGTAATCAGTGGGGATCTACTGCTATGTCGGCACTGTGTTGTAATGACGCCTCAGTTTTCAGCAGAAACTCACACACTAGTTCCTTTTCGTGTGTGTGATTGGATAGATATTATGATAAAAAAAATAATTAAAATATAATCCACGAATGTCATGGTTTAGATTAGCACATAATGTCCTTTTTAATCTTATCTGGATGAGAACTTGAGTAGAACCAGCCTATGTGGGACCTACACCACCGTTTGAGAACCACTGCTTCACCACAGATTCATCACTACAGACTCTTTGATTTCTTGTATATTTTAGACGTATCTTGTTGATTAAGAGAGTTTGAGTTTATAATCGAAACCATTGATTATAACATTTTTACGTTCTTTTCTTTTTCTACGACAAGATTGTTGCTTGAAGCTGTTGATTCCGGACTGTTATATAAATATAGAGAGAGAGAGACTCATCATTCTTCTAGTCTTCTAAGTGCACTTTTTATATAGAGCAAAACATTGGAGGAGGGTTTTTAAACTGGCTTTGGGACTATTGGCCGCGGACCTCTCACAGTTTTGCAGGACTCTCCACAGCCTGGCAAACTGGACTTTTCACTTCTCAATCTTTTTTTTCTACCGGAGCGTGTCGGGCTGAGACACGCGGCCTCGGTGTCTGATTTCTGTGCTCTATGTTAGAGTGGATCGCTGGCACATTGACGGTGCTGATTATGGTCTGGACTGTTCTGGAGATGTGCAAAAATGCCACAGTGAGGAAAAGAGGGTTGTACTTGGTAGATTATCCCGCTGCAAATGTGTTTCGAATGTGGATAAGCAGACAGAACTCTGCTGGAGTGTTGTCTTTGCTCTCCTGGAACTATCTCCTGGAACCATCTCCTGGCAGCTAGCACTAAGGGCGCGTTCACACTTGTCAGGCTGGTTCACTTTAATTGTGGATGTAAAACCACCACTCGTGACTGTCCACAAGTCACTTAAGTCAGTACTTCTTTTGAAACGGATGTATGAAGCATTCTTTCTCCAAGTGAACCGTTCTGGAAAATCAGAAGAATCAGAAGTAGTAACATGAAGTCACAAACTAGGAAACTGCTTTGGCTCTCTGTGCAAACAAGTTATACATGGCAAAACAGAATAAGGCTGGCATAGAAATGTAAAATTTACATAACATTTCTCACAATTACTACTATATACACGTGCACTAAGTACACTTCTTAAAGTGAACCAGGCTTGGTCCAGTCAGAATGAACCAGACCAACAAGTGTGAACGTGCCCTGAAAAGCACAGTATGTCGTATGAATACTGTATGAACAATTATCGGTGCTATTTAAGATCTCAAGTCGATTTGCAACCAATGTATGAAGGCATGGATTATGATGCATACCATGTATGTCTAAAGATGCCGTTCATTGTGCTACCCAGGACTAAAATGTTGGTTGTACGATGCTGAATTCCTCAATAATATTTGAGTTTGTTGCCATGGTGCCAGAACAGATTTTGAAACAAGAGCTGGTGTTTTTTGACGCAGTGTTGCCGTGGTGCAGTCTATGGCATATGTCTAAACACACTGATGTCCTTTTACGCTACGCCAACTTTTGTGAGTTTTTAACCATGTTACAAAATATTATTCCTCTTCAAAAACAGACCTGGAGTTGTTTTTAGATCCATCCACACTAATATGAGAAACTTCTGGTCCAAACATGAAACTGCCCTTTCATGTTTCTAAAAGCTCCTGTCTCAGTGCAGTATGATGTCTTTGTACCACCATGACCTCATACTCCGATCATGAATTGCGTCATTTTATACAATTGCATGGCTGTGTTTGCAGCCGGTAATTATATAATTTGACCAAAAAAAACTAATTCTACACCTCCGTCTGGTGGTAGGATGGGCATAGAGCAGGCCAATGGCATTCTAAAAAATACAATGACAAAGTAAATAGTCGCATTATCATTATTAATGGTAAAAAAATAATGCATACATTTTCTTCTTTAAACTAAGCAAATCAGGTCTAATCCCGGGTATTTTTTATATGTTGTGCAAAATCAGCTCTAAATCCTGTTTGAATTGTCTTGTGTTTGGAAATCTTGGTATTTCATCAAATATAATAATAAATATTCCAATTTATAGGTATATATTTCTTTGAATTTCTAAGTAAGAGTCACAATCAGGTTAGGCTTTGGAAATCTTAATCAATGGTCAAAAATAATGCATAA